ATACACAACATTATGAAATGTCACTTCATGACTTTTTGCTATAAACTAACGATATACTATCTACAAAAATTATTATAATTTTTTATTACTCCTCCATAAGTGTTAATGACAGTATTTGAAATGTTAAATATTGAAGCGATTATATAAAGTAATTTTTAATAAACTGTAGTAAGATTGTTAAAAATTTACATTCACACCATGAATAATTAATTGAATTATTTTTTTAGTCAAATAAATGATATAAAAATATTAAAGGATTAATTATGAAAATTATCACGTTTCAATACAGTTCTGATAAAAACATTTTTAGATAACGTTGAAATAGTGGTGAAGAAATTAGATAGTATTTTATCATATCAAAAAGGCATTTAATAAGTTTGATTCATGAATCTTTGATTGATTGATACTCCGAAAGTGTAAGAGCTTTACTAGAGTTTAAGTTCATTGAGTAAGTGAAGCGTTAGGGGTTACTATGGAGACGATTCAAATGCAGACACGCCAGAGCCTGCTAGGGAAGGGATTGTAACCCCAGGCCCTTAGAGCTACCTTAATATAGTTCATCAATGACTTACCATTCTTCCGCTGGGGTTTCGCTTGTTTCCTCCTCCCGCTACCTGAAGATAGATCAGTCGTCGCCATCCCATCAAATCGCAAGGCTCATATCCAAGAAAAAAACAACGTCACTTATCACAAGAAGGCTTCTTTTTCCGATTATCAAAGATGAAGTGTAGAAAATTATACTTGGCAATTTAGAAAACTCTTTGTAACAAATATACTAAATATATCTAATCGATTAAGAAAAGTTAGTATAAAAATCGAATATAAAAAATATCATATATTTTATGTATATTTATTTTCTTTATAAAAACACACGCTTGGACGTTCTGGTTTTTGTTTTGTGGTTAGGCCTGATTTTAGGCGGCTGCGACCGTGCGACGATGAGGTGCGTGGTGCGGACGGACGGAAAGCTGACTGGCGGGAAGGGGAGGGTGTGGGAGGGGGGGGGGAGTGGATAAAGAGAGATAGAGACAGATAGAGAAGAGAGAGAGAGAGAGAGTGAGAAATAAATGGACTGCTTGCGGCGGCGGCCGGCCGATGACTGGGAGCTGCCAGCGGAGGCCGCTAGGGGGCAGCACCGCTCGGCTGCGCGCGCCCCGTCGCCATGGCCACCGACCAACAACCCCCATGTCCATGTGTGAACCTATCCTGTCTAATGAAGGCAGGTTTACACGATTCCACTGACAGAAGGTCTGGTGACATACGAAAATGTATTACAAAAGTTACCTATCATCGGGTTTTTAAATGTATTTAACCTATGTTTTTTTGATTGTTTTTATTATCTATTAATGATATTTACAACTGTATTAAAAAAATAAATTTAGTAAATAAACTATGTTAAAATTTCTTTAAAGATTTTTCACCAGTTTTGATATTTAATCTTCTTTTTTAACTATTGAACCTGACTGAAATCAGAAAGTACATTAACCCACTTGATTCTCTGACAGTTACTGTATATTATATAAATAATATGTATATCATTGTATTATTATACAAACAAACTTAGGGAAAAAAATACTAAGGTGTGTGCTTTAGACCACATAAAAGAAGCGAAAACATCAACAAAGCGAGATTAATAATATGAAATATAAATTATAAATAATAGCTCAACATTTCTCTTGCTTATAGTATGTAGGTCCGATTTTTAGTTTATGATATATTTAATCCATATTTTCCATAAAACTCCTTTTATCATTTTGTTTTTGACACTTTTTTTTTTTCCATTTTGTCTATCTAACACAATTTGAATAATAGCCCATTACAGAGAGGATGAAATACTCAACAATTCCCTCACTTACAGTTACTAGCGGATCCAGGATTTAATTTTGGGTGGGGCTTCAGCCCGAAAGTTTTTTTTTTTTTTTTTCATATACATATAATGATACTTAATTTGAAAAAAAAAGGAAGAAATTAACTACCTATATGAAATGGTGTTTAAGTGGTTCTTAATAACCATCCGAATCCTCTTGTTTCTAACCTCTTCGATTCCTGATAACCCTCCGAGGCGTCTGAAAAGAAGATGGCCTCGTGGTCTTCTCATGTAGACAAATTATTAGAGTGCTACCAGTGGGTAGTTTCTCAACAAGTCATTTCATGTTTATATTTTCTGTCATCAAATTTACTTGATGTATTTATACTAATACAGTTGCAAATATCATAATAAAAGTTAAAAAAAAAAAAAAAAGTGGTTCTTGAAGTCCTATTAAATGTAATTTAACGGACAAGAATACTTTAAGAGATAGTTTTTAATATTTTTTCTGTAAAACATGATTATATTTTACCATTTTTTTTTGGAGGGGGGAGAGGGGGACTTCAGCCCGAAAGCCCCCTCCCCCCCGTAGATCCGCCTGTGCTTACAGTATGCAGGTCCGATTTTAGTTTCTGAGAATTCCAATAAATCCCATCGAATTACCTTTACCCTGCGTCGCAAATCCATGACCTAATGTCCTACAGTATCCTTTAATAATTCCCCACTTATCCGTTACGTAGGACTCCACATGGATCAACGACTCACATGGAATCCTCATACAAGACTAAAACCACAAGAAACTGTTCGACGTTTCCGACTACTCCAACACTTACTGGACAAACGATCTAAGCTTTCAATCAATTACTAACGACTCATATATATGACAATAATAAGACCTATTTGAACTTACGGAATTGAGCTCTGGGGCTCCACTAAGCCATCGAATTCCTCTCCTATCCAATCCTTACAATCCAAAACCCTTCCTAAAATCCTCAACGCTCCTTACTATGTCACAAATAAAATCATCCATGAAGACCTTAATGTTCCATATGTTTCCGATTTGGCCCAATCCAGATACCTATCCTTCCATAACAAACTGCAGAACCATTCGAACCCTCTCGTTTCAAACCTTGCTTCCTCCTCGATCCCCGATAACCCTCCGAGGCGTCTGAAAAGAAGATGGCCTCGTGATCTACTAATGTAAATATATTATTAGAGTGCAACCAATGGATTGTTTCTCAATAAGCGTTTTCATGTGATTTTATTATTACTGTGTGCACATTCACTAGTTGTATTATTTTATAATACAATTGTAAATATCAATGAATAAAAAAAAACAAAAAAATCGTTATAATTTGCTTTTCAACACTAATTTTAATCAATATCTTTAATGAAACTCGTTATCATATGGTTTTCGACACTATTTTTCCTTTTCACCTACCTAACATGGCGTCACGTTAAGATACAATTTGTGAACTGTCCTATTTAAATAGTTGCTATGAAACCTTTAATGAAATACAGATTATAAAAGACTAAGATGTGTGCTTTGAAGCACACAATAGAAGTTAAAACATCAACAAGGCGAGATTAATAACATGAAATATCAATTATACATAATAGCTCATTATAAAGAGGATGAAATGCTGAACAAATGGTTTGTGTATAGTATGCCGGTCCGATTTTTAGTTTCTGAAATATTTTTATCAATAATTCCTAGAAACCATTGAAGGATCTACGGAGGAAGGAACTGAAGTCAGAATACACCTCAAAAATGGAAAAAATAATAATTTTTTCATTGGTCGATATTCCTTTATATGAGTTAAATGAGCAAATCATCTAAATTATAACACCGAATCTTTGAAATTCCATTTGATCCCAATACCGGATGAAGTCAGTCAGGAAGACTTAAACCGATGATAGCAATCTGATAAAAAAAGGAGTATGCACCGCGCGCTACTCATTTATCTCCCGAAGTTCTTATAATATTATATCGATTTTAACTAAATCAAGAATTTCAACTGGTTTACTGGTAACCATGGAAATCAAGTTAGTAAACCAACTTATAACACGTACTTATTATTTCTATTTGTTTCTTATTTCTCGCAATAAAAACATTTAGAAAAAAAAATGTACAAATTAAAAAATGAAAAACAGTTTGTCCAAATTAGCGGGTATGATTGCTTTTTTCTTTTTTTGCGAACATTTTCGTAACTTACCTCCATACTATTTTGTTACATTTTTTTTTTTTTAAATAAATTTTTAATTTAACTAAAGACTATTTTCTTCAATAAATTACATTGTTTAACGAGTAATTAATATACAATTATATAATTATAATAAATTGTTTTTATACTTAAGTAATTAGTTTCATAAATTAATTCTCCATTATTACTGATCTTTTTTTTTTTTTTGTTTTTTTTCTTTCTCTATTTCTATTTTAGGAATAAACTAATCCTATTTTTGAAGCTGAATCAAGTGATATAGATTAGATTCGAAGGAATTGGGTTTCTAGGTTACTAAGAAACCTGCATTAACCTCAAAAGTGTTAACAAACTTTTGTAAAGTTGAATATGAGAAGGGATAAAATATATTTATTAAAAATGATGCAAAATAGAAAAGAATATGTGAACTTAAGTAGGAATAATTCAGAATATTTTTTTAAAACAAGGTAGGTCACAATAAGTACCAATAACATCCAAAACATTGTATACATCAGATTTAATTTTTTAAAAAAATTCATAAAAATGTATTGATAAATATAAACAGTTTAAATCTATTATTTGCAAATATTTATAGGTTCATAGTTTTTGATTATTGTGTTCATATTTGATCCGAATTTCAAAACATTTTGAAGTAGAAAGTTCATGTTCCTTCAATTTAACATTTTTTAATTTACGTTTAACATTAAGATACTATTTAGATTTAAAAAAATCGTAAAAAATACTAAACTAGTTAAAAAAAGGTAACCGAAAAAAAATCTAACAATGATGAAGAGCAGTCGACCGTTAGCTAATTTTCTTTAAGATAATATTTTCGAAGTTTTCGATACTTGAGCATAAGAAGTTCGAGTTCTCGATAAGAAAATTCCACCTCAACTACAGGAGTAAAGTTGAATCAATCTCTTTTGGGGTTGATGCAATTAATATAGAAGCTTTTATAGAGAACATGTTATCTAACAAATGTCACAGGTGTTGTTATTGCAAAATAATGTCATGAATCGGTTTTTATAAAAATAGTTTATTTATTAAAACTGTTTAGAATTAAATTCTTATATTAAGATACACATAATTGTGTAACAAAATTTACTTGTGTATTCGGTGAGAAGTTGATGAGGAATGGTTTTTGGAGTACTGCGACATCTATTTACTGAAACGGCATGTTCCGAGGTAAATCAGTTTTATATGTGAAACATAATGGTCTCAGTATGTACATGTATATTTATACAAGTAAGAATTGCTTATTATCTTAAGCTGGATATCCATGTTCGTGAACCATCGGCGCCCTCATAGTTGTTTCTTTTTGCACGAACTTAAAAGGCAGCGGAGTTAAGTTCGTGAACGGCATCCAACCAACAAACAACGTTAGTCACTTGTGCTTAATTTATTAATTGTTTAATTGTATTTATTTAATTCAGTCAATGAAAGCTGGAAAAGGGGTTATTATAGAAGAAAATGGCGGAGACAAATTTTTTTGACTTCAGGATATTGTTTGGACTAGTAAGGAGGTAAACATAGTAAAAACTCCATTCCCTAGCTAGGTGTTGAACCGGATGTGGGAAAGAGACGCTACCTAAAAATTCACTTTTTTCAGGTTTTCTCTTATATCAGGAAAACTGCCCATCGCATCAACCAAAACGTTCTATACAAAATTAAAGCTGATAAAATTTGAAATATGATTGATTATATAACTTTTTTTCGCTTCCTCACTTAGTCTGAATCTCCTAGATTCCAGTACTAAACTATGGCTGATTTAGAAAAAAAAAGTTGACCTAATGTTTTTTACTGTATTTGACTGGCTAACTCTTCATTATTTCGTTCTACGATTGAGTCATGGGGGTAAGAAAGTCTTTAATAATTATATTTTCTTTAAGAATATCCCCTCCAGAATATCAAAATAGAACAAAATTAAAAGATAACATCAGATAACATGCCCAAATAAAAGCAATAGAAAAAAAAGAAATTATAGGGAAAACATTCTATATACAAAACAAACGAAACTATTTACAAAACAATTAACCCTATGACAAGACAATTAATGCTATTTGCAGTGATAGACCAGTATACACTTTTAAGAAAAAAATATATTAAATCTATGATTAAAATAAGCTTTGTGTTTCTGTTGAGAAAACAGAACCTGACAATATAAAGTGCCTGATTAATATATAAATACATCATCATCATTTCCTAACGTAACAATAGGCAAGAATTAAGAGGTGTATAAAAGATAATAGTTATAAACATAGACATAAACATAGACGCGTTCAGTGACATCAAGAGTAGGAAAATCTTTACCATATAAGAAAACTAATATCTCTAGCAATGAATAGCATTGATATTTGACAATGAGTGACATGAAATAAATGTATGTTGTCGAATGGTTAGCAACTATCTGACTGTTTTTGGAATAGGATGGTTTTGAATGTGGATATGGAAGGGGAATGTCGAATTTTGATAGGGAGGGAATTCCAGAAATTGACAGAGCGGTCAATAAAGGAGTTTTGGAATGAAACAGATCTGTGAGAAGGCATGCAAAGATTAGAAGGTCGATAAATAGAAAAATATAATTATTTTAAAAGTTCACCTCTAATGGTTCAAAAGCTTTTTTTTTTTTTTTTTTTTTATATTTGTTTATTTAGAAATATTACATTCTGTCACATCAAGGACATTTATAATAGTGTTCAGAGAAAGCACACTCACACTCTATTTACAATAAAAAAAAAAATAATACAGAAACTTAATAATAATAAATACAATAAAAAGTTAGATAAAAAGGTTCAAAAGTTAGATCAATTATAAATTTATATGTCAATTCCGAAAATTTGTAGAAAAATATAATTTTTATGATATAAGTTATTAATATTACTCCAACTCACAATACATCTCAACCTCTACGTAGATAATCGTATATACATATATATATATATATAACAACGAATATTCAAAGTTGAAGACGGATATCTCGGAAACTAAGCGAGCTAGCGAAAAAGGTATATGGTCAATCATATTATTACAAATTTTATCAGCTTTTACTGATATAAGCAAAACCCCGAAAAAATATTACCTTCTAGGCGCCTCCCCCCTTCCTCCAATCACACCTGGCTCACCACCTAGGAATGGGGGGCTTTTACTATGTTTACATCCTTACTAGTCCAAACAATGCCCTAAAGGCAAAAATTGAGCCCCGCAATTTCCTTCTATACCCCCTCCCCCTTTTTGAGTATTCATTGACTGGACTAAATGCTACACGAGTGACTACCGTTGGTTGAATGTCGTTCACGAACTTAAGTCCGCTTCCCTTTAAGTTCCAGCAAAAACAGACAATTATCGGAGCGCTTTAGAATATTCTCGAACTATTAGACGCTTGAAGAGCTGCTGATTCGGGAACATAGTGGATAATCGGCTTAAGAAAAGAAAATTTTGTTATTTATTAAACATATACACGTTTTACTGCAAATTACAGCTTAAAATCATTCGAAACGTAATCAGTTCATCTACAGAACAAAAAAAAAATCTAAACCCAACAGTATCAACAACAACCCGTCCATTTTTTGTGTTTTTCTACCACAGCTATTTAAGAAAACGATTGTATTAGGCAGAGACTTATATTTGAACACTTTTAAACAAATATCTAATACTTTCCGATTGCTATTAGGTAAAGAAGGTATTGTTGTAATCTGATCAAATATTTGAATTAGTATATGAAGTTAGTCGGGAGTACAGTCAATATATAAAATACTATCATGTAATAAAGTAATTTATTACAACGATCAACCATCTTCATACAGTTTGAACTACTACCCATGTTTTGAAACATCCGTAATACGAAAATAAAATAAGCGATACCAAGGAGGATTGAGAACAGAAAGAAGCACGCTTTACCAGATCTTCATCCAAAAACAACGGGAAGTAGCTTAGGAAGTCCACGGCTTATTAGTCGATTTCAAAGCAGCCTACGATTCTATGGACTGAAACTGTCTTAGAAAGATCATGACTGAGCTAGGTGTGCTAGGCTTGACGAAAACGCTAACAAATGATCCTAAATGTCGAATTCTGAGAGGAGTAAAGTATTTTAAGCCTTCGAAGTTCTGACTTGTACCGGAGAATTCTCAAGCCGAAGCTGTTCAACTTAACTCTCAAGAAAATGGAATCAGGACTTTAAGAAACTCACTAAAACTCTGATAAGAGAAACTGAATAATTCGGCCTACAAATCACTGAAAATAAAAGAAAATACAGAATACTAAGCCGAGATATTCATACCAAAACCTAATCGGCGTAGAAGGAAATTCATTCCCGAGAGTAGAAAAATTCGAATACCTCGGTTACACAATACCTTCAATGAATGACAGAAATAAACCAGCGTAAACAGAGGTTTCTAACTATTTCAAAGGTTTTGAAATCCCTAAAAACTTTCAGAAATTTCTAATGATTAGGTCAGTTCTGATAAATGGCTGCGATTCCTGAACATTAACCGACATCCTAAAAAGAATTATTTTAAAATTTGAGAGAAAAATCCTCCGAACAATAATCAGAGCGATTTAGGATCAGAGAACTAACGGATGAAGAAGAAAGACCAATAAAGAGCTGCTTACAGAAACCTATGAATCAATACTTCACTCATGATGTGAAGGCAAGGAGATTAAGAGATTTAGATAAGAGCTATCCATCAGAAAGCCTTTGCACAACAATGAATGGCGTGATAGTAGACAAGATACCACATGGAATGGATAAAGTACAAATAAATAATATTAGCTTTAATATTATAACTCCAAGGTTCGATACCGACACCACCAGTCCCTTCAGATTGGCTTTAACGCAATCTTCCCACCTTCGCTTCGGTCTACCCCCCGGACATTTACCATTCGGGACAGTAAATATTAACCTTTTAGGAATTCTCTCGTTACTAAGCCCAACATTTTTACAAACCCATTTGATTCGCCGCGATGTAATCACCTCAATTATATTAATCGAATACAGTTCATGCTATTCGGCGCTGTGATCATCTGAACTCTCCGGTTAACTGATTCTTCTTTGGTTCGAATACTTTATTATTCGAATACTGCAATACTTTATTTTCAAAAACCTCAGGACCTTGCTCATCCCTCAATGTAGGCGGCCACGTTTCGCATCCATAAAGAACTGTAGGTAAGATAATGGTTTTATAGATTCTAATTTTAAATTTCCGCGATAAGAGGCGCGAACTACCTGTTCAAACATATTACCTTCTATATCAATAACACCAGCAATATCGTCGGTGCGGTGCGCGCATCACATAACTTTCACTTATCACTCTCTTCTTAGGGGGAAAAGGTATTTTCAGACAAAGGAGAAGTGAAAGTAAAAAATTATAGACGCTATATTTATATCTATTTCATTGTGGGTATTCATTATTTGTATAAGTAAACTTATATATACAAATTTTAATATGTATATAGCTGTAATCTATACAATTAAATATTAAACAATACCAACAATAGAATTTATGAAAACCACATATGTATATTTATATAATATTGTCAGAGTCCGTATTGTATTAAGCTCATGTTACGTATGGAAGCCTGTTCTAATCTTTCGGGCGAGCTCGGGTGCGCTCGTATTCCTTTGGTTCCTCAATTACAACTATTCTCCGTTACGATCTCTTTTAGTTAATTATCAAATTCTTTCACATTTTATATTTAACTATCTTTTATAATAATAAAAGGCTTAGCGAACCCGAAGGTTCGATGCCGACACCACCAATCGCATCTCATAGTAACTAATAAAGAATAACTACCTTTTATATTATAGATTAATGTGAAATGGTCATTTTTTCAAATTAAAAATATTAAAGATGCTTTAGGGGAAGTGTTGAAAATTAGCCATTTAAGCCCTGTTAGAGAACATCAATCGGAATAAAAACTACATTTCATTTTAAACTGCTTAATTTTACACTTATATAATGAATTTAATCAAAATCGTTAGAGCCGTTTCCAACAAAATTGTAAAAATGTGTTTGGCACACGATATGAAGTGCCACTCCTGGTCAGTCGATTTTGACGAAAAAGTTACTGTAACATCCCTAGTATATAAAAACCTTAAATATGCAATTTCACTTCCGTACGACTTTTCGTTTTTGAGCTAGACTGTTAAACACACACACACACAGACCATTTTACAGGACTTGGTTATTTGGACTCAGGGGACCTCAAAACGTGTATTTCCGTTGAAAACTGAGATTCGAAAATTTTCACGATCGCAATACATTCCTTTACTATATATTTCATATAAAGGTAAGTGAAAGTAAAAATTTGAATGTTTTAACTACCCCATTATATCATTTAATTTCATAATTAACTTACTTAAGCAAAATGATGAAGTCAATTTATTTATGAGGTTCAGTAATAACAATTAATTATTGTTACAGAGTTCAAAGGGATCAAATGCTTATCCGAAAAGAGCAGATCCAAAAGCATTAAAAGAAATATTTTTGAAGGTAAAAATAAATATTACTTATTTGTAAACTTCAAAACCCAATAATGATACAATGTGCCAATTATTGATGATGCAATGCCAATTATAATCGTGCAGCCATGATGATATGTATTCTTTTAATTTTAACCAGGATAAATAGCATGATGCAGTCAGTAAATTATAAAAATAATTAAATAAATGTGTCATTTAGTTTGTAAAAGATATGATTATGAGTGAAATACCAAATTGATCTTTACTTAAAATCACAACTTATTTATTAGAGGTAGATTATTATTCGAAATATGAAGAAGAAAAAAATATATAGATTGGATAGTAAGACTGTCATAGAACATTTTGCTAAAAATTTGTGTAAATATGCCCAGTATTATTATTTTCGCCTAGATGTTAAAAAAAAAAAAGTCTATCATTTTAAATAATTCAAATAAGATTAATTGAAAAATTCACAAACTTATATAACTATTAAATTTCTAGCATGCAAGTGTACATAAAAATGGTGAGAGTTATATGAATAGTAATGATTTTGTGAATGGATATTTGAGTCTATCTCCGAATGACAATGACCAGTCTAGAAATCTCCTTGCGGGTATTGTTGACACAAGTAAGGAAGGGTAAGCTAAATTAAAATCATCAAATAGAATATGTTGAAATAATTTTTATCAGTAAGTAAACATTTTATTTCACAGGCTAATATCATTTTCGGAATTTCAAAAGTTTGAGGAACTGTTATGCGTACCTGATGATATACATAGAACCGCTTTTCAGATGTTTGATACAAAAGGAAGAGGGGAGATAACACAGCGTAAGTAAAAACTAAAAAGGATAAAAAAAGTTATGCACAATAGAAACTTTAGAATATCATTCATACTGTTTTAGATGATTTTTCAGAGGTTGTAAAGAATACTGAATTGAATCATAAATTGCCTTTTGATTTTCATAATGAATTCTTGAAGCTTTACATTGAAAGAAACAAGTCACGGGCAATGACTAATGCAGAATGCAGACAGTTCCTACATGTGAGTAATCACATTATTATGTTCACTCCTGAACTGTTACCATTTGGGAGTATTTTCTACATTTTCAGTTAAAATGCATATTTAAAAAAATTAAAAACTAAAAAATATAACAAGAACTTTTTTAAAAGTTTATTTCGACATGAGACACAATAAAGCTACCGATTTTTATTTATGGATTATCATCATTTGCAATCTATATAAAAAACTTTAAAAAAATAGCACTATGCTATTTAGATATAGCCATAAATATATAACTAGCCATAACATTATTTTATTTTATTTTATATATTAACGTACTCTCCTCTCCTTAAGAGTAATAACCAATAGCCAGTTCTATTTGTTTGCCTCATCCATCTGAAGATATTTTTGGAAGTTCTGTAGAGCGTAATCTCTTGTATACTTATTTTAACACTCCTACACTGAGGAAGTTGAAGGTACCATCTTTGCTAAGAGCTACACCAGTTCATGTGATGTCTTAAAGGCTCTAGTCACCTGCAGCAGAGCCATTATCTTTGTCGATACCTGTCTTTTAATCTGTCACAGTGTTAGCTTTTAATTCCCAAAAATTGCTTCTATCAGGATACCTTCCACAAGTCCTTGGGAATTTAGTACCTGAGGGCCTACATTCTGAAGCAAGTTGTTGAGTTGTCTATCTAGGTTGGATCATACCGCTGAATAAAATATCTCCAAAAATATTTTAGTCCGGACAACAAATAGTAACTAGAACACTCTTAAGAATACCTTTAAAGAGATATTGATATTTATTAAGATTAAGTGAACCAAGAAAGAGCTGCCAAAACCTGTTTTCTCATTCTGATAGACTAATAATTTTATCTTACCTGTACCACTATAATCCGTAGTGGGCCAAGGGTTCAGTAGTGTTACGGTAATAATGTTTTAATATATATAATATAGTAGTGTTTCAAAGGCAACAGTTGTTTTGGGAGATACAAGGGCCGAGATCACACTTAACGAAGAGGTTTCTCCCGTTAAATAATAATTTAATTAAGAGTGACCATTTTATAGAGGCTCGGTGTGTCCCAGGAGGATCTCCTGATCTCAGAGTCCACAACTGATGCAACAGAATAAATAATTATCTACCATAACAGGATTCTAACTCTGATATCATCAGCATGGGAAGTCAGTGCCTTACCCACTGATATACTCTCCCTCCTAACAAATAAAGCATTACCAAACATTTTCTCAATTCCTAAATTTTATTAATAAATAATAATAATAAAAGGCTTAGTGAACCCAAAGGTTCTATGGCGACACCACCAATCGCATATTACACACCTCCCTCCACCGTTCGCCGTCCAAACCCAGTCCCTCAGATCGCTTTAACACAATTACTATAACTGCCTTTAACACAATTTTTCCATCCTCGCTTTGGTCTACTCCTCGGACGTTTACCATTCGGTATAGCAAATATTAACCTGAATTCTAAATTTTATTACATTTGTTAATTTTTTTTTTTAATTCATGTTATTAAATTTGAATATGTATTTAAAGGTTACAAAAGATTATGATGATGATGATGATGGCTCTAAAGTAGGCTTTCCATTCTTCTCAGCTTTTGATTCTCTCCTCAAGAAGATGGATCTTATTAAGCGAGTGTATTTAAAGGCCACAAATTGTTCTCGCTCCAAAGAACTCACTAAGGGTAAGTTTTAGTTTTTTTTTGCATTTCAATAACAACTTCTGTCAAAAAATGGAATCATTAACAAGCAACAAATCGCAAAAATATAAAACCCAAAAAAGATTCAATGACCACTGAGTGTTTACACTGAAATCCTTTTTATAAAACAGATTTGGACTGACCAATAGCTAATTTTCAAATGACACAATAAATGAACCTTAAAATCCTTATAAGAAAAAAACAAAATAAAAGAAGTTTTCAATAAAATAACTACTTTTTAATTAAAAAGTGTATTTGGTGTATTATGTCAGGATATTTACAAACATTAGAAACTAAAACTTTTTCTAAAAGAGCTCTGTGAAATCTAAACATCTTAAAAATTCATTTGAGTAATGAAATATATTTAGTCAAAACTAATTTTAAACAAGCTTATTATTATTATTAGATTCAACAAAAAATGTCAGATATATAAATATTTTTATAATTAAAAAAACCAAACGAGTTAAATAAAAATATTTTTAAATTATTGAGATCTAACAAAAATTTGATTAATTGTTTTATTTAATCATTAACCAAGGGGGTATCTCCTGTCTGCCTAAAAGCGGACCAACCCCCATTTTACAAATTATAAAACTGTTCATTTAATTGCACTACTCATTGCTCAAATTGTATAACTGTAATTTACATTTATTCTGTAGTTGGGATTGTATTATTTTTTCAATATAGTGTAAGCAGAATTTTAAGGGAGTTATGAGCGGTTGAAGAATTTTAAAAATCGTGCAGTGCCGAGTCGTTAGTCAGAGTGTTAGCAGGAAAAAAATTTAAGTGTTTATACCAGGATTTTAATTAGTTAAGATTGAAAAAATAAAATATTACAAGATCACTAAAAACTTTTATATATAATAGAGAGAATCCTAGCATTTAAATTTGTTGAGATTGGCAAATAAAATATTACAGTTACTAAAAACTTGTTTATATAATAGAGAGAAATGTTTTTTAAATAAACGTGATAGTTTGAGATGCAGGTGGGGATGAAGACTTATTAATACACTAGTAAATTGTCTTCTTGAATCAACAGATTATAAAGCGAATCCTACATTGTCAGTCAGGAATGACAATATCAAGACTGAAAAGAATCACCTCACAATGGTCTGAAATGAAATAATAGCTCTGTTGACGTTGAGACACCAGGAAGTGTGAATCTGGTTTATCTATTATTAATGTGTTTCATAGAAAAAAATTTGTTAGTCCAATATCCTGTATGATTATATGTTCCAAAATTCAAGGGTCTTGCCAAACCCTTCATTTGACCAGCCCTGACGAAGGCCTGAAATTTGGGCTAAAACATCAGCAAAAATAAATTTACTTATTTATTTTTTTGATTGATCACCCTAACCATTCTTCTCTTTAAAAATTAAAGATGAACTATTGCTTAAATCATAAATATTTTGGAAAAAAATAAAATTAACTAACACAAGTAAAATTTGTAGTTTTCCATTTTCTTTTTCATCTCATTTCACTGTTTAAAAAAAAAAAATTTTATTTGATGTTGGTTTATAAGCATACAGCGATACGAAAAACTATTGTGAAACCTGGATAACTCAAGTATTCCTTCCACTTCTGATTACAGCTTGGGTTTCTAGACTTTTGGAAATCCACCAGTACATCACTTAACCTTACAGAATCATCGTGTCAGTTATCATTGGAATGTCATTTGGACTGACCATGTAGGGTCCACTTTAGAATCATAATTCTATAAAACATATAGCATTTAAGGTCTCATTGATATCTTTAAGATTATTTTTTAAGCAGGGAAAATTTTGTTAGAATATAAAATAACAATTATTATTTTGTATGTTATCTTTCAGATGATTTTCAGTATCATGCTCATAAGGAGTCACATATCACACCTATGAAAGTTGACATTTTATTTAAACTATGTAAATTAAATAACAAACGAGGGTAAGAGTTTTTAATCTTTTATTCTTATTGATATTTTTCGAACATCTCTAACATGGGGTATTGGAGTATTAGACGTAGAGAAAAATAAACTTAGAGAATAGCTAGCCTAAGTGTGATTAATGACTGTATGCGATAAATAACGTAGTGTCATTAAAGTTTAAGGGTGCCAGTCCCTATAGCTCCAGTACGGAACTGAGATCAATACAGTTTATTGAACGTCTCCTATATGTGAAAATACTTTTTAACTTAATATATTATCTAATTTACAAAAGATTAAAATTACAAAATGTTCAAACTGGTGATTTTTATTAGAAATCATTTTTTTTTTTTTTTTGTAGTATATGAAACTTTAAAAATTCATTTTTACATATAGAAGTATATAATATAGTATTTAGCCCATTTTCTATTTTTTTACGAATATTTTATCAATGTTGAAATTTCTAATAAGAATTATCACCTTTTATGAGGAGTTGATCGGGGGGTGCAGTCAAATATATACTAAATTATTGAAATAATATTATTTAATTTTTATGCCAACGTTTCGACATACTTTGCAGGTCTTCATCAGGGCGTAGGATGTAGCATGGCGGAAGGCAGTTGAAACACTGGCCGTGCAGTTGAAACACTTTCACCTTTTATATATATATATATATATATATATATATATATATATATATATATATTTAAATTATTTCCATATCACAACTTTATATCTTGTATACATCAATAAGAATTCCTTGTTTTTTATTTCATTAGAGTATCTAATAAAATATTAAACCAAGAATAAATATTTTTGTCACAGTGTAAACAATGGAACAAATAAATCCCACCCTGTACCTGTTATTATAAATTTTCTATAAGTAAATATATATATATATTTTTTTTTTAATGCCTAATAGGAGTTCCTGAAACTGTTCCACTAATTCTTTCAAATTCGAGCAAAAGTGGTTTTATTCTATAATGGGTTAAACATAAATAACTTAAATCAGACATAATTATGTTATGTTTTTTAATTTTCTTTAAAACACCAATGAAAATTATCAACTATTACATAATATTAAAACATTACTGCAGGGAAGTGGCATTCAATGAACTCCAACCTATTTCTACAGATGATCTACAGACCATGCTTCGTCCAGTGCTATTAAGCAACGAAAAAAAAGATGAAGATGAATGTCGAAACCCAGTAAGTGTTTAGCCATAATCAATTTTAATATGTAGAAATGTACAGAACGGTAATGTTCCCAGGACAGGGAGGAGATTATAGTCCAGAGATTTTAAAATTATAGAGATTTTCCGAGTATTCTTCCTCAAGTCCACTGATATCCTATAAAGAGGTACCAAAATCACTCCTTCAAGTATCTGCAAAATCAGCAGCTAGTTAATTTTGGAGGAGAGGGGGAGATGGAGAAGGGGATGTCATGCAACTCCAGTAATCCTGAACCGCACTTACTGATATCTTGTAACATCATGCATTATAAATTTCAGGGTTTGAAATTGATGATTATTTTTCCAAAAATCAAGCCTGATTTATTTAAATCGATCTTTGATGTTTATTGATTTGATTAAAAATAATGATTAAATTGTGATAAAAAAAAAATTTTGATCAGAAAATAAAAATCACCTTTTACACACGTTATTAAGGAATGAAAATGAATTTAGGAAATAAATATGTTCTGTTGCTAATAGTAGAAAACAATATTCTCCTCTTACTCCTCCAGACTCAAAATATATTATAGAGATTACAAAAAATTTATATTTCTGATTTAAAAAAGTATTACTCAAGAATTATTATTATTGCTAATTGTAAAAATTTTGTTCAAAAATAAAAAAACACTCTTAATAAAAATCAGGATATCTGTCCTTCCATAATAAACTTCATAACCATCCCAACCCTCTTGTCTCTAACCTTGCTTCCTATTCGATTCCTGATAACCCTCCGAGGCGTCTGAAAAGAAGATGGCCACGTGATCTTCTAATATAGACATATTATTAGAGTGCTACCAATGGGTAGTTTCTCAACATGTGTTCCATGTCTTTATACCAATGTGCAAATTTACTAGATGTATTTTTTTGTATACAGTTGTAAATATCATTTAAAATAAATAAATAAATAAATAAAAATCAGCAAATGATTTTTGAAAATTCCAGATAAAAATTTTGATCAGGTTTCATTTTGATTTTTTTAATTATTGATTTCAAACCCTGGTAAATTGCATCAAGTTTTGGTAGAATATATATTTTTTTTTTGTATGAGATGTAACCAAGATGCAAAATCCAAATCTTCGACCTCAGCACCCCCATACCACTCACTCGGCCACTTTTGAATATATAAAAAAAACTATATTATTGCACTTTTTTCAGTCTGTCCCGATTTCAATGACCATGAAGGATCATGTTTTTTGATTAAAAAAAAAAAAAAAAAACATTCTATTCCGTATAGGCTCAATAAATCTATAAGGTTTCAAATCACAGCTTTTTAAAATTTTCTGAACTTGAAAACTTTAAGCTACAATAATTTTCATGTTTTACCCTACACATTTGTATTTATATCTTCAATAACGTGTCTGATGTGAGCCAGTGAAATAAACATTTATTCATTTTAAAACATTGAAAAAGGATATTGGAGGAGGGGAATGACTTGGTAGGGGTTCACTGTTCACAATCAGATGACCGAAATTCAAATACAAAATTATCATGAGTATACAAAAAGTGTAAATAAAGTGAACGAAACTGTAAACGAAATGAGAATTAAAGGTGTTTCTTCCGATTTGGAGAACCAGGACCAAGCAAATCTGTCAATATACATCGTCCTGGACTTACTGAAATGGAATGAAAATGTTTATTGTTTGAATATCTCATGGTAAAACCCTGTCAAGAAGTCCTAATAAAATATAATATTACATAATATATAACATAATACATAATATAGTATTAATTGGTGCATATAGAAGATGGATAGGTGAATTTGTTCGGTCCTGGTACTTTGAATCCGAGGAAACACTTAATTCACATCTTGTTCACAATTTCATTTACACTTTTTGTATACACTTGATGTGAATGATTGTTAAATAAATTTTAACACCAATCTAGCCAATTAATGGATGTTACTTAATCATAATTTCCAACTTTTCACCAACAAAAATATTCAGACAGAATTATTAAAAAACTTCAAAGCTGCAGGACAATTTGTTTAATTATGGTCTAGAGAATTAAATCAATGTTAGCTTTAACTTGTTATTTAATATTTTCTAGGCTTAGGTCAATCTAAGCTTAGGTTAATTGAATTTACTGCAATAACAACACATATGTCATTTTAATAGGTTTTTATAAGAGACTTTTTCTCGGAACATTGTTCCACACTCACGTATGGAAGAGCTGAAAGTAGTTTTGTAGATTAAAATGATGTTCCTTGCACATATATACTCTATTATAACTGGTTTCATGTCCAATTTATTGTATTATTTATACACCCTTTTTTTTAGTTCTGGTTTTGGAAAGGAGAATCAAAACAAAAACAGCCTGAAACAGAAGTTGTCAATCTGGCTTCGGTATGTATTAAAAAAACAATAAACAAACTAGAACATTACTGTACTTTTGATAGAACTCAGAAAATTAATTAAACAGACATACACACACACACACACACATATATACATATATACCTCTAATAAATTGGCTCATGTGAATAATCCGCACAGTATACTGATCATTTTTGAAAGGGAGACAACAGGTAATGCCAGAACTATAGAGGAATTTCTCTTCTCAGATGTGCCATCAAAAATTTATGCCAGAATCTTAGAAAAGAGGCTCAGAAGAATTTTTGAACCCTTGCCAGTGGAGGAGCAGCATGGTTTCAGGCCCAGCATAAGCACACAGAATCTGATATTCACCTTGAACTGATATCTGAGAAACATATGAGGAAAACACATCTAAAAAGATAAGGAAGTGCTTATCTGTTTTGTGTTTGGCAATAAAGGTTGTTGTGGAAACAAATCTCCGGTTCAACTGACGGATCCTGGGCGATTGCCTACGAGAAAAACATAGTGATAAAACTAGAAAGACACAAATCAAGCTTGTCAGAAGGATGACCAACCAAGGAGACTGTGCTATTAGACGGATGGAACTCGAATAGCACAGGCAAGCTATTTCAAATACATGGGAGCTCACTTCAACAAGAATGGATGAATAGATGGAGACGTAAGAGAGAAATATATAATTGGTAATTGGTTGACTGTCGTGGATAATGAAGAGAAGAATAGTTGGGGTGTTCAGTCAAAAAGGAAGGCAAAAATAAATTATAATATTTAAAAAATAAATATTATAATTTATTTTTGCCTTCCTTTTTGACTGAGCACCCCAACTATTCTTCTCTTCATTAAGAGAGAAATAATTGCAGCAGGGAAGTGTTTTAGTGTCATTAAGAAAGGCTTTTTAGGATGGAAAGAAGTCTTCTCAAAAATACAAATCTAACGATTTTTAAAAATACCATCCTTTCAATCATCACATACTCAAGAAGCAAGTCTTGAACTTAACAAGTTAACAGAGGCTAACTTCAAACAGTGCAGATGTGCTACCTCTGTAGGGTCGAAGGTAAGACAAGGAGAGGCACAGTGAACAAGGAGAGGAGCATTAGAATCCAATCCAATCTGGGTCTGCAGGATGCAAAGGAGATAATAAAACAGATGTCTGAACAACAGACTGGCAAGAGTCACTTATGAGATGCAGGTGAGAAGTAGAAGATCTATAGGAGGTGTACGACACAGAGGAAAGTGGAATAAAGGAAGCCTTTAGACGAAGAAGAATGGATTGGACAAGGAGAAGAGGACTGGTCCAAGATAGAGATTTGTGGATCAGGCTCTATAGACAGAAGCCTTACACTCCTTAGCAGTAGAAGGGGATGGATTAAGTGAGTGATTGTATAGATCAATAAGAAATGTAACAGAACATGGAAATAAGTAAATGCAATTAATTTTGAGAATTGCTGATTGTAATTTTCTTTTCTTTGGGCAATTACAATGATTCATTAATGAAAATAATAAACTAATAAACACCTGTACAAATTGCAAAAGGCTGTACTTGCATATAATGGTTCAATTTTGATTGTATTTTCATTTTATAGAAATAAAGAAGCTTTTCAAATTGATTTTATAATAAACCGTAATATGTATACTTTTTGAGTTACACAAAAATAAGTTTTCATAGCTTTTTTTTGCATTTTATGGGAGATATATCTATTTTTCGGTACTGATTGAGAAGCTAATCTCTTATAATATTGTTGTTGATAATTAGAAGGAACATTTAAATACCTACAGAGCTAACCTAAACAAAAATAAATGTTAGAAAAATAAATTAATCAGACAAATATTTACAAAGATAAAGCAAAAAATTATTATAACAGAATTTTCAACCAAAGCATTAGGAAGGTCGTGCAAGTGGAGACAAACCAGAGATAGTTTCTGCTTTTTCTGAAAGAAACTGTATTATAGAGATGTTTTGAGGCTACAGTCTACAAAAATTGTGTAGAGAATTTTTAAAATTTTCTGTTATCATATTTATACTCATACATAAAACATATAGTTTTTGAGCTAAGCGCAAATAATGTTTTCTTTTCTTCCTGCTTTTTAGCAGCCAGAGCACCACGAAAGATCCAATCTTATGTCAGTATTAGAAAGTTTATACAGGTTAACTATGGGATTCACGGCTGGAGGTAAGTTTTATACTTTTTCATTTAGTGAAATCATTTTTTTTTACAGTGATGAATCCTATTTTTAATTTAATAAAATCATAAATGAACTAACCATAAATGAAAAGGTGAGTGGATGAAGGGAGTAGGTAATATTAAGCGTGTTTTGGCCTAAATTTATCTTTTTGGTCCTTTTATTTTGTAAATATCTTTTTTATAAGTTCATACTAAAATATACTGCAGTCAAACCTCTTAATAATAACCTCTTTTAAGGGTCACCTCTATTTTCAGGACAATTAAATGTAATGACATTTCAATATACAAAAAACAATACTTTAGAAATAACTTTCTTAGGGAAATGGAAAGATATAATTACACAACAATAGTTATTAAGACTCTCAATAGTGGACAGAATAAGGTTTATCTCTTCACTTTTCCAAGAATGCATTAGTCTAATTTAAACCTAGTTACTTCGATTTCTTGCCTTCTTCTAATTAAAAATAAATAAATAAAAAAGCAGCCTGTACCATTACAACTCATGAAGGGTCTCAGTACTAAATAAAAAAGTACAGTTTCTTGGTCAACGGTTGGGCAAAGAGGTGATTTGACTGAAAGCACTCTCAACCAACAGGTTTTTCCTCTTAATTAATTAATTATGAGTTCCCACTTTAAAGAGCCTAGATGTGCCCCAGGAGAATCTTCCGACCCCAGGATCGATCCATGGCTGATTAAACAGAATAAATAATTACGTGCCATCAGCTGAATTCGAACCCAGGACTTTGAGCAACCCTACTCCCCGTTTTTAATTAAGAGGGAATTTTAAATATACAATTAGGTCATTTTAATTGTGACTATCTGTCAAGAGATGAAAATTTATCTTAAATTAGATTGAATAATTGATAACTATATGGAAGATGAACACCCTAAAGAAATGGATGCTGAACTAAGCAAACCTTACAGCTGAAACTATGATTCCATTACAAAAATCAAATACTACATCCTAGATCAGATCATTGCCAAAGGTTTTAAATTGGTCGCATATACACATATATTTTGAAAAAATTAAGTTTGGACAGTTTAATTTCATCTGGTTCTCAAACTGAAAATTTTTATCAGTTTTATTTTTGTTGAATATTTAAAAGTTGACCGTTGCATTATAAAGAAAGGAGATGGTCCAGGGTGGCGGTCATAAACTAATGTAATAATGGTGGAATAACTAAAGATAATGGTCATGAATAGTGGCAAAACTATTTTATTAAAAACCAACGTTTCGACCTGACTTTGCAGGTCTTCTTCAGGGCTAGAACAGACAAGATACAAAAAGATAGAGAATTGTGGAAGTTACATAATATTATGACAAAAATTATAAACAATGAGAATAAGCTTATTACAATTATAAACAGAGTAAGCTAAGTAACAAGATCCTAAACTCAAGTAAATAGATGGTAACAATTGTTGTAGTGTAATATATAAAATATGCAAATGTGAATATACCTCTACAGATCTATGAAATAATAGATATGAAGATAAAAAAAAAATAATAAGTTGAAGAAGATTGAATAAGAAAATTGGAGAAGACCTGCAAAGTCGGGTCGAAACGTTGGCTTTTAATAAAACAGTTTTATTTTTAATTCAAAGTTTTATAAAAACTCACTTTTATTCTTCCTAATTATTTATGATAAACAACCTTATTTAAGTTATTCATATTTTTTAGGGAGATTTTTTAATAATAGCTGAGGGAAACTTTGATTTATGAAGAAATTTAAAAAAAGATATATTTAATCTATAATAATCTATAAATGATTATTTATATATCAAAACCTTGTTAATCTCACAGCCTTATACATTTAAATACATTTTACATTATACATTTAAAAATTATTTTTTAACGTTTAGCCATTTTTAAAAAAAATGTAATTATCTTAATATGTGCAATCTCAATATGTATGAATATAACAATGCTTTTGTTATGTATGTAAAAAATCCAAATAATTGTAAATACATATATATTTGTTTAAAATAAGACCATTTTCAAAGGATTGTAGTAGATTTAAACAAATAATAGCCTTCTACAGTTCTTTTATATACCTATGATAATACTATTTAAGTGTGTATGAATGTATATGTATACACACACACACACACACACTTTTTATAACCTTTACATTAAGGACACCTCTCATTAAAGGACAAAAATGAGTAACCATTACTGTCCGGTACATAGAGGTTTCACAATATTCCTATAAGTGTATAAATTTACCTTAAAATGAGTTTTAAAAAATGGTCAGGCTATATCTCATGATAAAAAGGAAAGAGGGCAGGACATATAGCTCGAAGCAATCCATCATGAATGCTACAATGAATAAAGATGTCCAATGAATAAAGTCCAAAACATAGGTGGAGAAGACTACTCCAGGTAACCAAAGATGTAAGAGGTATAGCCAATATAAAAAGAAAAAAAAAACTTCCATCAGAAATATCTATAAATATTGCCACATACCTCTTTTTATATTTTTGTCCAACCATTCCTCGCCTTTTCTTCTATACCGGTTTTTTCTAGGGCCAGGGGAGAGGGCTGGGAATCAATTTAAAAATTAAAGAGCCTCTCCCTTCCCTTTCCCCCTCTCTTCCGACACCAGAACACTAACTCGTAATCATATTATCGAATAAACTTCAGTTAATCAGGTTGCCAGGCAATAAGTGTTCAGCCATTCAGTATATTATTATCTTGCTTAATAAACTTTTTAGAGAGTTGCAATAGGTACTGAAAAACAGGCCCATACATATCATTTTAATTCCTGACAACTTAATTAAAAAAATTTACGTATTTCCTTCATTCATTCATCAATTTAATTATGATAATCAGAAATTATAAATTATAATAAGATCAGACATGATAATCAGTTTTATCGAGAATGATACTAAGAATTTTTTGTCTAAATGTGTTTATTCTGTAAGCCGGTAATCACCAGGGCTCAGGTCGAATTGTGAGCAGCCAGGGTAAACACATTTAGACTTAAAATACTAGCACCCTAGATAATTGTGGTGTATCCTTGAGGCTTTTGATAGATCAGTGCTTTTTAGTAGTTCATTTCCACACCGTAGCACCTATCGCTGACCGATCTTTATAGCCAGATATAAAGAGAAAAAGAAACATGAGAGTGTGTAAATATATGAATTTGGTTGCTGGCACTTTTCTCAGGAAATTATTGTTTTTTTCACGAATATATCATTGATAGAAGTGCTAAACTGTTATTTATCTCCAGAGATATTTGTATTTACTTTTTTGTAATAATAAAAATTTATTATAGTAATTTTATATCTTCAGCAACTGGAGCTGCTGCTGTGTATCCAATTGATTTGGTGAAGACCAGAATGCAAAATCAAAGAATAAATCCTAACACAGGCGAAAGAATGTACAATCATAGCTTTGACTGTTTTTATAAGGTAAATAAGATTACATAAAATATTTATATTAATAGTTCATTAATTATTATTATTTTAGTGCATATTAAGTCCAGCCAACCCTTCATATCAATCTTTTCAAATATTTAAAAATCTTCTCACAATTTTGTGTCATTTCTAAGAGAACTGACTGTTAAACCTCCCTTGAGATCGTGATGGCTGAGTGGGTTAAAGAGTAAACTTTAACATAACATTCTCAAGTCTAGCACCAACAGTTCAAAACCAATCTGAGCGGGTTGAAATTTTGTGGTGGACCCACAAAAGGAACCTCGACCTTCCCTACTCAGGTTAGAATATATTTGGTCGAAAATTTTTAAATGTCTAAAAAAAAAATAATAGGTATTAATATGAAGGTGGCTGGACTTCTGGTCTCCCACCTCAGAAACTTACCCCACAAAGTGAGAATAAAGAATGGAAATAATAATAATGCTTTATTTATTCTGGGAAGAGTCCCTTTAGAATAATATAGGGACAAAAATGTGGGCTAAGGAACCTCAGAGATACATAAACAAGAATATAGTTTGATTAAATAGTCAAAAAAATAAAATAAATAAATAAAAAAGTAATAAGAGAAATTATAAGTTACTTTCTAATTTAAATCAGTTAATAATAAAAAATAAAAAATTGAAAATAAACATGAAGTAAAAATAATAAAGAACGATCTAATAATTTATATACATATTTACAGTAGTAACTATTTACAATTTTATGAGGACTGGATGGATAAGAAATGATTAAACATTCGGGATTTAAAGATAGGAAGGGTTTTGGATTGACGGATGAGGGGAGGGATGGAGTTCCATAGGGAAGAGGATGGAATAATAAAAGATTTATTGAAAGCAGCGGTTCGGTGGGCATTACAATGTGGGACATTTAGAACATGTCTTCTGTATGATCTAGAGGCAATAATCTGATCTTGAATGACAACTACAAATCATTCTGTCTTGGAAAATAACATACCATGTTTTAACCTCTCATGTAGAGATTTTCTTTTCCGTTCTGATAACTTTTTATTGTTTTCTGACACAATTGTAAAATCATCACCTTTGCTTGGGTTAAGGGCAGTTAGATTGTAAAATAATCCTCTGTTATTTTTTTAGAAAAAATATCGATGATGGAGCGATTCCGAATTGCAGAATTATGATTCTTCATTATTGTATAGTCAACGTCCTCCTTTCTTAGATAAATTTAGGCGAGGGCTAGAGGATATTGAGTGATGGGTCTTTAGAAGATGATCCATCTCCTCTACATTAATGTTTGGCCACTGAAGTACGCTGAGGATATAACTACAACTTGAAAGAAGTAAAAGAGAGCAGGAATAGGCCAGCTATTGTTGGCCTTGATGTCTGCTTCCCAGTTAGTTGAATCTTGAGCAATCTTCGTAACATAATTTTGAACATTGTCAGGAGTTCTATCTGCATGTCTTTTGGGCAATTTTAAGGAGCTGTTGCATGCCAAAATATATATACAATTGATTGGCTTCTAGTACCTCAATGCACTCTTCTTCAATGATCAGAATACTATGGGCAGTAATCACTCTTTCCTTGCTTAAATGGAGCACCATTCCACCGTAGGCTATATGACATACCTACATAACAGTAAAGGATGATACAGTTTCAACTATGTTTTGTAACCATTGTTTATTTTTCACTTATTGTTTAAGATTATTCATAGAACATCTATTAGTGACTATGGTAGCTTGCCTTTGATGATGTGTTTGTAGCCCATATTATTCCTTCGAAGTAACCAGCTTAATAGGACCAGCACCATTAGAGTGAAAAAAGTTTTATTTTAGTATGTTCCTTGGTCTTCCTAGGATCTCTTGGTATGTTCCTTTCAGAACTATAATTTGGTTGATACTTCGGGTAGCTCCGATTTAGAACTCCAGAAATTTTTGTCTTACTTACTTTATGTTGGACTTTGTGAATATCTAATACTTTAAACGCAAACAATGTGGTACAGAATCAAAAGCCTGCTTATCATGTTTATAAAGATTTTATAAACTTCTGTATAAATTTCTGCTTATCATGCCACAGAAAGATTTTGATGTTTTTCAGGCAGCAATCAACGAATCTATTACTAAGAATTCTTTGTAACCCCTAACCCCCCCTTTTTTTTCATCCTGACAGTTCTGTGGGAATCATATTCTTAAATTGCAGATCATTACAGTTAAAACTATACTAAAATAAAACTCTGACTACTAGTAAATTATTATAATGTATCGCTAATTTCTTACAGGTAATTAAATATGAGGGTATACGAGGGCTTTATAGAGGTCTCCTGCCTCAAGTATGTGGAGTTGCTCCAGAAAAAGCTACTAAATTGACTGTTAATGATTTTATTCGAGATCATCTTAAACATGAGGATGGATATATACCTTTATGGGCTGAAATAGTTGCAGGTGCTAGTGTAAGTCAAAACATTTTTGACAGTGAACTATAATAAAAAAAAAAAATGGAGTCTTTTTAAACTATGGCAAAGCTTAGCTTTGTATGAAAATGCATTTTTTTTTTTTTTCTGAAAAACATGAGTCATTAACTTTATATAATAAATAAAACATTCTAAATTTAAGACAAATTTTTATAAACATATTTTTTATATACTTAGGCAAACCTTGGTTGGTTATTATACCTATTGTAGTAGACATCCGTCTGTATTTACTCCTTCATGTGACATTGTGTGAGGGAATGAGAAGGAATATATAGGAATGTGAGGTTGCACGATGAATTGTACTCAATTGTGCAGTGGAGAAATTATTCATTGAAAAGTCTCATATCGACAAACAATCGACGAAGAAGGAAGAAGATTGGAGGTACCGAAAGGACGGATCAGGTCACAGCGCACTCTAGGCCTGGATAGGAAGAAACGAGGTTGTCAGAACAGAGAGGCACAGCACTGAAGATTAAGATCAAGCCTAAAGTTATAAGACTAAAAAATAAATATTTTGTTAGACAGCTGTGAAAAGTCATTTATTTATTCAGTTGTCCTATAGGTCTCACAATTGAAGAATAACAAACCAGGTGAGTCAATTCATTCAAAGTGTATTTACTCAGTCCCACATTTCATATATATATATTCTAATTGTTTCTTGTCGCTCAGTGTCACAAAAAGGTATTAGATTCCCGAATTCCCAACGACAGTTGAACACTTTCAAAAAGTCTATATCCACTGCCGGGGATTTGTTTTAATATTCACGAGTGTAAATAACCTAGTCCCCGGATAAAACGGAAGAATATTTACTATTCCCGCCAAAAGGAATATTTATATTTAACTCTTAACATGTTATTTACACTAAAAAGGTAAATTAATGATTGATACAGATAAAGCATTGAGACAAGTTTGTCCATTGCTCTCATCGCAGACCGTGTTGTATTGTAACGCTATTTGTCTATAAACACAAATCATATCACAGCCTTTCATGCAATAGCAGAAAATCCATAATGCTAGGATTATTTTCGTTTTGACTGTCCTAAAGAAAGGTGTCCGATATGACATCTATTTGAATACAGTTATTTTTTTTTTTTTTTAACAGAAGGAATATTTTCCAGTAGGACAAGCAAACCATTTATTAAGTAAATTGTTAATTTAAAAATTGTAGTAAAGTGTGAAACCTCATCAATGCATTAAGTTGAACAGTCTCTGTATATTATGTATTCTAAAGTGAAATGTATTCTCGCTGCGGTGTATTAATACATTCTATATTTTAGGGTGGATTTTCCCAGGTAACATTTTCCAACCCGGTGGAAATTATAAAAATTCAACTTCAAGTAGCTGGCGAGGTAAAAGGAGGTCAGAGGCCAAGTGCTCTGGCAGTTTTTAAGGAAAAATTTTTTTTTGGACTATATAAGGTAAGCTATCTAAACTAAAATATGTAAGTTTATTATAAATTTCAATACCATTATTCTGTTTTACTTGGAACATTACATATTAAGGCTCGTTGACAACGGTGCACCGACCCACCCACACACCGTTCGTCGTGTAAAAACGAACACAGTTTGCTATGGCAGTGGCCAAAACAGCATATCGACCCTAGACCCTGACTCTTGCACCAGGCAGAGAAATGCCTTGCCAATTCTTTTAGCTTCAACCCTCAAGCACCTAGGCCTCAGAACAGTCGGGTTTATAGAAACGTTTTTATATCATAACGTTTATATAAAAAAAAAAATATATATATATAGATAAAAAAAAAAAAAAAAAAATTGTATATTATGCTCATATATGTTGTTAATACTATATAATTGTATATTAGTTTTTGAAAATTGTCTGTAGCGATTAATAAGTATGCTGTGTTTAAAGCAACCCAATGTAATTGGGCAGCACCCTTTTAAGATAATAAAGTGATTCTCTCTCATTTTCACAACCAATTAGGATAAATGCACCAATTATGGACACAGGGCCCAGTGATGGACAGGATGGACTTTAAATGTAAATAATAAGCTTCCAGTTTTTTCTACATTGAAGAGCAATCAATGCCCTCTATTGACAACTATATGAACAAAGTTCCAATAAGATAATTTTAAAATGCCTATAATTGTTGTTTCTATAGTGGTCTTCATATCAGTGCATTTAATACCTTCCTACTAACAGTTTTGCTAAGAGTAAGTTGAACATCTATGCTATATTATCTATATCGTTATGTTTATAGTTAAATAAAGATTTCAGAATTTTTCTGAGGTATCTGTATTACTAATACCGACCTCCTGTCCACTACTAGAACAATTGAATTTCGTGGTGTCCATCACTAGTGCAAAAAGGTGTTGTTTTTTTTAATGGAGCTTATGCCTGCATAACTGAATATTTTTTCAATTATAAAGTTTTAAACAGAAAAAGGAGACCCTAGAGATTGTAAATATCCAACAGAGAAGTTTATAACTATAATAATTATGGTGGCATAAACCAAAAAAACTCTTAGCTATGTCTACCATAGGTGCACTTAACCTATGCCAATTTATTGTTTATTCAGATTAATATTAATTAGTACTGCTAATATTTTATATTAATAACGTTAATATTTTATAATATTTGTTGTGTTTATTACGAAATGTATAAAATGACATGAAAGAGAATTTTTGCCAATAGATTTCAAATACGTAAGTTCAATTGGTATATAAATGAGACATATTTTTATTTTTTATTTTTAAATATCCTAATTGCTGAACAGCAGTGGTACAATTACAAAAAAAGAATTTATATCTCTACTTTAAGGGTAAAGAAAGATAATCATGATTATAGCTGAGTAATTCTCATTTTAGGTGCATGTATAAATTATTTTAGGCAATGATATTAAGATAGCTTTGGTAAAAAATGAATTATTTATACAATAGTTTAAAAATTACAAATAACAAAATTAATTAAACACAGGCCTAATATCGCTCATGAATATTATAAATTTAGCTTTAATTAAGAAACTCCTTTAATAAATCACTTAACAGTTAATATTTTTTTTTCTAACACCTCTTGACTTATTTGACTTCCGCCATTAGTCTTCTAGCAGCTATGGGGCTGTTCTAGACAATAGCCATGCTTGTTTGGTTCTATTATGTAGATATCCAGGAAGCACGTTGTTTATAATAACCGGACACAATCACAAATCAATCCCTCATCATCAGGATGATTGACAACCTTTTACTGGATAGGGTTAATAGCCCTGTGCCCAAACCCCACTCTGGAGGACCAGGAGCTATGTTGTAAAGCGGACCCTACACGGTCATTCGGAATTGCATTCCGAGACACTATTGACACTCCAATTGATCGTGTAAGGTATGGATTGAAGTATTGATGGACGTGTCTGGCAGATTTCTGAAAATCTGGAAATCAAAGGTTCAATCACAAGAAGTGGAAGGGAGACTAACCATACTACTAGATAGGTTAGTTTACCTAAACTTCACAACCGTTGTACATTCCTGATTTTAATTTAAAATAAATAGTTTTTCATCTCCCTAGTTTATATTTTTTATAAGCGACCTTCAACAATTTTTTTTAATAGTCGAGTGGGCAATAGATTAATATTTAACTATTATATATATATATATATATATTAGTTAGTTCTTTTTCCTCAATAAATTTATTATTTTTGCAATATTTTTGTAAGTAGTGGACTTATATTTTTCTAACTTTTGTCAAAACGATTTTCAGACACCAGGAAGTACATATTGTAACTCCATCTTTCGCTTGATTTATAATACTATAAAGGATAATGGTTAAATAAGCCTTTTTGATGAAATACATTTTTATAAATGAACACTGTGTCAGATCCACACTACCTGTTATCTCAACGTCAACTGAGTTAAAATGCGTCAGTATGATTGAACGTGTAAGGCTCATCATGATTGAAGCAATCTTTGTCAGTCATATGACTTTTATTCATGAATTATCGTGTAGGGTCTGCTTAAGACACAGGAGTCGCTCACCTTCATATCTCAAGGTGGGGACGTTACTGTCCCTATGCGTGAATCGAACCTGTGTCTTAGTGGTCCAAGCAATTCAGTAGGGACTGCACTTATTTATTTTAATTTATTATTAATTTTTAATAAATTCTATGATAAAATATATCAATGCTCAAATTCACAAAGGTTGTAAATAATTTTTTTATTATTTTATAGATTTTATTTTTTACAGCTATCACAAAACAAAACATTACCATATCTTCGACTGGATTAGAAAATTCATTAATGTATTTCGACACTAAGGCCATCTATCAAACTCATATTGATTTAATTTTGGTTATTTAACAGATTAAATGAAATAATTTCATTAGGACATGTGAGAATAATTTAAATTCTGAATAAAAATAAAATTAGTAAGGAAACTACTTTAAATCTTTGTGGTAAATCTAATAAGATATAATTTCCGGCTCAGGTACATAATATCCTAAAATTCACCGCATTTCTTGTTTACATGTTAAATACTTTTAATATAAAATTCTTATCTTTTGTTTGTTTTCATTTTATTTTGATTTTATGTATAAAGTTTCTTTGTTGACTAAATAAGGGTTATAATATTCTCCAAATATATAAAATAAAGGATGCTTTTGATGCTAGGAGAGGTATGGATCCATGTATGGATTAGAAAAAGTGCGCCAACATGGACAGACATAGGGTAAGCCTCAGGGATTAAACTAGGAGCGTAGGGCTGTGTGAGGGTCGATGCACCGTTGTAGAGGAGGCCTTAGGTTGTCTGCATCATTAAGACCTTGGTATTATTATTGTATTTAAATCCTGTCTAGGGTGCTTCAGCTTGTTACTGTCGAGATATGACCTTTGCAGGGATTTATTTCCCAACTTATGCCAACACGAAAATATTGCTGACTGATGATTCTGGCTATAATAATGTTTCCACTCTGTTTCTATCTGGTCTTATAGCAGGGGTTCCAGCGGCTTCAATTGCAACACCTTTTGATGTTGTTAAAACTAGATTACAGGTATTTATAAATAATTAAAAAGTATTTTATATATATTTTTTTTTACATTTCTTTAATACTTATTTGCCTTAATATATTACCTTTGTTTTTGCTCATTTAATTCACTTGATTTGTTATAACAGTGTGGCTACCAAATAATTAAAGTAGAACTGCCTGACATTATCCTATTTAATGATAGTTTTCCCTGACTAATATGTCTGGGGACACAAATATTAAAAATGTATTAATAAATTAATTGAGGGATTAATTTACTTTTTCCTTGGTCAATTACACAATAATCTAAAATATATATACAAAATCTAACAGGCTGTATCTTAGATAATAATATAGATATATCTTTTTAATAATTAACAATAAATTGTATACTTTTTGGGATATACAAAAATAAAATTATCCTACTTTCTCTAAGGAATGGATGTACTTCATTTTTTTAATTATTAGTTTTGATGAGCTATTAAGGTATACATGGCATACAGACACAGGCGGATCTACGAGTGGAGGAGGAAGAGGGGGCTTTCAGATTGAAGTCCTCTCTCCCAAAATGGTAAATTATAACCATGTTTTATGCAAAAAATATAAAAAAATTATCTCTTTAAGTACTATTCCTTGAGTAATTACATTTAATAGGACTTCACGAATCACTTAAAACACGATTTTACATTGGTAGTTAGTATCTTTCTTTTTTTTTTCAAAGTAATTATCCTTATCCATATGAAAAAAAAAGCTTTCGGGCTGAAGCCCCCAAAAATTAGATTCTGGATCCGTTAGTGCATACAGAAAAGAAGATACATTTGAGAAAAATATATATATTGGTGATTTAATCCACCGAAACATAGGTCTGAGGTTCGGCACTTGTTAAAGATATACTGTTTCTTGCCTAAAATTAATTTCAATTGTAATTTTCAATGATCAATAACAGATGGCATAATCCACAAAAAAGTAGGAAACAGGAGAAAATTAAAGCAATCACGGAATAAATTGAATTATGATTCTAATTTTCACTGCCACATACATCTTAGGTGCCATATTAGTTTAGTCACATCAGCTTTTTACCATGAATGACATCCAAAAAAACAAAGATCTGATGGGTTCTAAAGTATTAGTTAACTTCTCTACAAAAGTCCCTATGGAAGTCCTAGAGGTTGAAGCACCAGGTTTGCAAAAGAAGATGAGAAGAGTCAAAAAATGTCACTTTTTTCCAAATATATTCTCTGAACTGAAGAAAAAAAATTAATTACGTTTACTTCGAAGAAATATGCATGATTGAAAAAAAAAAACAGTGTGCAATTGTTGACACTGTCTCCCTGACTAACAATTCCTTAAATTTAACTTTTAGTCCAGTTTAATTTTTTTTATAACCCTGTTTCTGAGATATGCATAGCAGATATTCATATTCATATTCAATATTCATTTATCAAAAATCGTGTGTAATTATTTTCTTGATTATTTTTGGTTAATAGATGGATTTTTTTTTTTTTTTTTTACAGAATTTCATTAGACTATATAGACTAATGGAGGGTTCAACTCAACTTATTTTGGATAAATTATTACAATTAATTGATTTGTGTACAGGTAAAGCCAAGACCAGGGCAGACAACTTACAATGGCCTCAGAGATGCTTTTAAAAAAGTTTGGAGGGAAGAAGGATGGACCGCTTTCTGGAAAGGAGCAGGAGGTACTTGATTTTTTTTTTTTCTTTAGCTCGACTAAGATGAATAGTGGCCTCATTGAAATCTATTCTCTATTTAAAGATGCCTTTGTGAAATTGTATATTACTGTTAAATACTTGGAAATCCCTTTATTTTATAGTTAAAAGCGGAATGCCTTTATCTCTCAATAACAGTTTGTGACCATGCAGATATTTTTAGCTGCCGTTGATTACTCAATACAAGATTGTCTTGGCAGTGGCAGTTTAAGTTAATTTCATTTTGCATAAGATTTTAATGTTATTTTGCTTATGTTTGAACTGTTGTGTGGAAAACATCTATAGTGAGGAAAAGTATATATGATTGTTATTACTTTTACTCGATTTTGATTTAACTCGGTGTATTAATGTATAATTGAATGGTCTTTAATATCAGACAGGTTTTATCCCCAATGATGTCACTTAACAGTGTTTACATGTCCAATTTTCAAAATGTCTTTCCCTAAATTACCTTTACTTTATTTATTTTTTTCATTTTGATTAATCAATTATCTCTCATTGTTACAAGTAATAATAAAAGGCTATGAACGAATTTGATACTTGACTAAAGAAAAATATTTTTTTAAGTCAAAAATTTACTTCCGGAAATAATAGTCAGATGGTATACTTATAATATATCTATAGAAAGCTGAGAATTTTAGAAAAAACAAAATCTAACATACAAAGTCATGGAAGGTAATGGAAAGTGAAAAAAAAAATTATAAAAAATAATTTGTGAAAACTAATATTATTTAACGAAAACCACATGTTTCCTAGGAAATGAAATGAAATTCCCTAACTAAATGTAAAATTTTAATATTATTTTTAAGTTTGAAAAAAAAATTTATAAAAGGTACCAAATCAAGCCATTGGTTAAAAAACTATCATTGTACTCATGTGAAAGCACAATTAAAAAATAAAACTATTGCATAGATGAGTAAAACATATGTTTATAAATTTCAAGAACCTTCACATCTGTGATAAAACTCCTAAAGTCACGGCTATCAATAAAATAATCAATAATGCTGCTTGCATGTCTTTCAGCAGCTGGGAAACTAATTTTATACACAGAATCGTGCGGAAAATATGAATTCCATGTGGGCATGCCATTGTCCACATAAAACTCAATTAAGCAGTACTCACTATCATTCCTTATGCCCTCAACTCCATGTGATCATAGGATTGAAGTATCCCATAATAAAGATATTCTTGTTATTATTTTCGTTCTTAATCACGATACACTCCAGGTCTCCATAGAACTTTTATATAATTTGCAGGAGCATAAACGTGTAATAGGGTCCTGTATCCAATATGAAAATTTATATTAACCGCTAACATCCGTGAGTTCACTGGCTCTCATTTCTCAATCCTTTTAAAAAGCTGATCCTTTATTATATGCCTATTCCTTCAACTGCTCTATTTCCTGGTAGGAGACTCCTGAATATTAACCTCTGTTCGTCTTTACAACTTCAGCTCCTTTTTCGCTCACTTTGCTGATACCCAGAATGGTTAACCATGAAAAAACTAAATACAATAGTAAAAAAATAATAATTGAAGGAAGCTAGTTGACTGTTTTAGCTTTCATGGGTGATAAATATTCAAAACGCAATCATTATAAAAGTTTTTTATTTGTGCCGTTTTAGAGTACCCAAAAGCCTTCAGTGCTCGAACCACACCCTGATGATGATCCACATGTTTGAAACGTTGACACAAATAAAAATTTTTATAATGACTTCCTCCTGAATATTTATCACCCATAAAAATATAGTCAAAAAACATTGTCAGTTATGACAAAATGAAATTTTTTTACTATGTTAGAATTTTTGTTAGTTACTATGATTCAACTTCAATCAGCAATAACTTTTAGTGGTGTCGGCAATGAACGTTCGGGTTTGCTAAGCCTTTTGTTATTATTATAAACAAAATTAAATTATCTTCTTCTTTTAACAACTTATAGATCCTTTAATATTAACATTATTTTTTCAGCAAGAGTATGCAGATCTTCTCCCCAATTTGCTGTTACTCTAGTAACATACGAGTTACTTCAAAGGCTTTTCTACTTCGATTTTGGTGGCAGGTAAGAACTGAAGATTTCTCATTAATAGAAACTACTTTAATTAATAAAAATAATTAAACATACATCTAAACATTTAATATTAAATAAACAGGAGACCAGAAGGCTCGGAAAAAAAGAACGCTGAACCCAAAAAGGTTTCTTATAATCCAAATCATAACAGAGGGTAAGCAACTAGCTAAGATTATTTTAACTTATACACTGGTTTTATATTTTATTCTATTTCTTATTTATTTTGTAGGAATTTTAAGATTTATACTAAAATGTTGAATGTTTAAGCAATTTAAAAAGTTTAATTCACTTTGGATTTGAGCATATAAGTCAATATTAATAAAAAGGCTATCAAATATTTAGGTTATTGTAAAAAAAAAAATTAAAATTAAATTAACAAACAAAATAAAGATTATTTATATTTATTTGTTAGTTATTGTTGATATGGTGATTTTGGTTACCACACATAATATAATAGTGAGTTCCTAAAGTCGGTGCTTTTCCATTGATGGATTTCTGATGCTCATTAATGATTTCAGCACTGAATTTGGAAACTTGACCACTATTACATAGATGAGATTTGGAACGGTCTGATGGATTTCAGATGCAAATCAATGCCATCTACACTGAGTTCATAAACTTGATTTATCTATTTGGAAATTACTGCAGTAAACTTCCAATCACTATAGAGATAAACTAAATCCAACAAGTCTTTCTTTTACCACAAAAGGGTCAAAACCTTAACCAAAAACGAATGTCATAACTTTTTCACCATTACCAATTAGAATAGAAACAATATTTTATATTAACTTCATATTTTTCAAAATCTTTACAACACAGCAGCACCCATCTGGTACTGTAAAATACTAATAATAAGATATTTTTAATTATGTTTAATAAAAAGTATAAATTTATTACTAAATGATATTAAATTTTTTTTTTAAATGTTTATAATATAGGTACGAGGAAGCAATACCAATGATAACTGGGATTGAAACTCAATTTGGAATAAATTTACCGAAATTCAACATAGTGACAATTTCACCAAGCGAAAAAAAAACAAATGAACCAGAGGAATGAAAGGCGACATTTGCCTTAAGAATGTTCCATTAAATGATTTTAGTACAAAAGTCTTTCTTTATTTTATTGAAAATAAAATGATTTTTTTTTTTTTTTTTACTTTCATACTTCACAGGGATGTGTTGCGATCATGAAAAATTATTAATCAGTTTTCAACGGATACATATTATAACACTTTCGATTCGGATGGTTCGTCTGAAAGTTGCATTTTTAACCCACTTGCGGGTGTAGCTTGGTAAATTACATAATATATTTCCTATATCAGAGGCTCGTATGCAGTGGAGATAAACTTTTCAACTCCTTCAGGATCCTTTTAGCTTTAAAGCGGTATATTTAGTTTTCAAAACAGCTGTCTAGAAATTTAAATTTTTTTAAAAGAAATATACACTTGTTAAGTGAGGTATATTTATAAAATGAAGCCTGCAGCGAAAGTTTCAAAGTTCTCTGAGTCCAAAAAAAACAAGTTTTGCAAAATAGTTGTGTGTACATGAACAGCTGAGTTCAAAAACAAAAGATCATCAAAAATGTAATTAAGTACTTTAGATAGGTTGAAAAGGACATGTAACATTGTTGAGTGAATAGAAATGAAAATTCACAATAAAATAAAATTCAGTTTACTTTTATTGGTAAACATGGCTGTAAATACCCAATCACTTTCGGAATTACATCTACAGTTTGATTGATGTGATCAGGTCCAAATGGCATGTTAGTGGGACAATATTAAGTTTTACTAATTCAAGTGTTACTCATAATTTGTTTCATACTAAGTCTATTATTTACAAAAAAAAACACTGTAGGAATTTTAAAAGATTAATTTTAAACTAGAAAAAACCAATGAGAGAGTACGGTTATATATTTTAGGAAAACGGTTATATATTGTTTCAAAAATCAATATGAAAAAGGTTACTACAGTATGAATATTACCACTTTCATCGCTGAGACAAAATCTCATGATTACACCATTAATGGAATCACAAGACAGCCAGTATCTGAAAGTAGACGGAAATGATCAAACCGTCTGATAAGGCTGACCACTAGATTTTAACATTGGTGAAGCGGGACACCATTGACCGTGAGGGGGATCTAGAGTAAAAATTTGCTCCAAATTTATTACAAGAATTAATTTAGATAATAATAATCTGGTGTAAATATATTCAGGTAACATTGTATTTAGATCGAATAAGGTTAATAATGTAGTTCTAAAGACATATTTTTGAGAGCAAATAATTTTATAATGTATTTGCCATCTAATTTATGACTTCAATAATAACAGTTTTCATGACTTAGATATTTTGTGCTAGCAATCAATATCATATTCAAAGGCAAACAAGCAGAACATTTTCAAAATGGTATAAAAATGATTGAAGGTGACAAAATTTCAGCAATCGAAGTAGCAACTGAATTTGCTCATGCCCACCAAATTTATATTTATCCTTATCAATATATTTATTTAATTATGATACCTTATTAACTAGATGATTTTCGGATTGCTTATCAAGTTCAAACAATGTTGGCTGAACTCTAACAATTCATCAACAATGCGAAATTTGATAAGAAGTGTTCATTAATAATCTGTTAAAACATTATAAAACTAACAAAAAAAATATATGTATAAAACTCAAATCCTCACGAAATAGCCAGATGGCAGCCAAAAATCGTATATTCTCTTTCTGTTCCCTAGCTTGTAGAGCATTCTTCTAAAAATTGGAACTTTCTTAAAATCCCGTTGGACGAGGAGCAAATTGTTACAGTCTGGGACTGTTCCGTCAAAAGAGAGACATCTGATCACCACAGATAAGGCCCTAATTTCAACTGAAAAGAGCCTGTTTGAGATTTATTATCAGCGGGAGTTGAATGCAGTGTGTAATTCAAGTTAATTAACGCTTAATTTATAACTGAAAAAGAACAGTACAGAGTTTGCTTAAGTTAAAGTTAAGTATGGCATTCGAATAAAGAGGTTATACTATGTTTTGTCAATCCTCAGCTATTATCGAAATATGAATACTGGGATCATGAGATCTTGGCATACCGTCAACATGTACGGACTCATATACGAAGGTGCCAGTAAAAGTTAACAGTATTGTACTCATTTCCGATTTACCTTACCATAAAAATATTTAAGGCAATGAAAATATAGTTTAATATAATGCACATTTATAAAGTCAGAAACTATTATATTTTCAAAAGTACACCAGGTTCAAAGTAGAAAATATTTCAATGGGTTTATGAGCCAACCATTAAACAAGAGAGAGAGAGAGAGAGTTACTGTTGGTTGCAATTTGAGCGATAATTGATATCTTAATGATACATTTGGGAAATTATGAGAAATTGACACATCAGAAAACCATTTTTATGCTGTCTATCCCCACTAACTTAACAATGGGTAAAATAGCTTATCAGTTGTTCCATCACAGAACCCTTCATATATAATCTATATTTGAAAATCATGGATAAGTAAATTAAGTTAAAAACACTGAAATATATAAGAGTATATACACATTTAACAATATAGAACCCACAAGTATAAGGATTCATAGATTTCGCCTAATCAAATATAGATTGGAAGATAGCAAATTAATTTGATAACATCTTTAGTTAAAATATTTGATAAAACAATACGAACCTGATATGGTAACTTTTTCATTGATCAGATGAAACAGCGTCTTTACACCATCTTGTCCCTATAAATGAAATCAAAGTTAAAAATGAAAATGAACTTCAATAAAACAATGAATTAAGATGTAATAATGAGCAACCAACACTTTAAATCGACGCAGGAGTAAATCTGGTAGAGATTGAAGAAATAACTTGCACAAACACATCACTGAATTTAATATTAGTAAGAATATCAAAAACGAGAAAAACCGAGAACGGAGAAAATTAACGACTTTCACACTAACTGGAGGGAACTGCAGGAAGTAGGTCAGTGTATCCCTAAACCAACTGCAAACAAAAAATAAAATGTACAATATTCAATATTTTCTCATCAAATTTACAGCTACGCCTAAAAAATAAATAATCAGTCATACATAGACTGCTTTTGGTCAAATAACGCCAAACTTTACATTTCGAGTAAAGAAAAGAGGCGCCCCAACACTTTTCCTTCCTTCATTGTCTAGATATCTTTTTAATCTTTAGTAGCAGAGCTATGGATATTAGCTTAATTAATATTTTGGTGGCTTAATAATTTTCAGTAAAAACATTTGTGCTAAGTCCATCAATTCGATCGGTATATAAAGCAGCAGGCAAATTAAGATGGTATAAATATGAACCCTCTCCCTTCTAAAATCATGTTTTCTAAACATAAGAATACCTATGAATCCAAGCAAATAGTTAAAAGAAACATATTTTTTCATTTAACTAGAATTTATTATTTTATGACCATTTATTTATAATTAAACAACTTTTAGCAATCTCTAAGCCCTTTCTCCAGCCTTTTCTTTTTAATGGAAAACTCCTTCCTCCAGTTTATATTAGTCCCATGCACGGGCGGATCTACGGAGGAGGGAAGCTTTCGGGCTGAAGCCTCCCTCAAATCGTAAAATATAAACATGTTTTATGAGAAAAAAATATAAAAAAATTATCTCTTAATGTATTATTGTTCGTGTAATTACATTTAAAAAGACTTTAGGAATCATTTAAACACCATTTCATATATGTAGTTAGTTTCTTTCTTTTTTTCCAAAGTAATTATCGTTATTTTTATGAAGAAAAAAAGCTTTCAGACTGAAGCTCCCCCAAAATAAGAATGCAAGCCCCCCCCCCCCTAATAGTAAGAATGCAAAATAAATGTATTTTATTTTTTATTGCTATTAATTGATGATGTGAAATATGTATTTTTATTACAGGAAAGTTTAGTCAAAACTAACACTTTAAACCAAATAAAAAATGTAAATAGGCACATTCTATCATATGAAGCCACATTGAGAGTGAAGATCTGGCAACATGGCTTATACCTGTCATCCCGCGTTCAACTCAATTCAGTGTTTATGTTTGAATCTGACGTGGGTGGTCTGTGCAACAAGTGGCAAGTTAATTTTTGAATTGTCAAATTTAATAAAATACGAATTTGTCATCGTTTCAATATTTTCCTTTTCTTTTGTGTGTTTAAATATATTCTCAGCATCATTTTAGCCTTATTAAAAACTCAAAGCAACAATTTAAGGTGGTTTATTTTTTGTTTTATTTGTATAGTGAAAGTTTCCAGTTATCTTTCTAAGCTGAGTTTCTGATGTCAAACATATCTGAGGGAACTAATCATTTTAAAATTTTGTAATTAATATTGGTGTACACCATTTCTTTATATAAAACAAAAATGACATCAAAAACTAAGGTAAATAAATATTAATTTTTATACATGAGTTGATATTTTTGAATTAAAGAATATTAATTGGTTTACATTCTTTGCTTTTCATCATTATACTATTGTTTCTTCCAAAACTTTGCTCAGTGGTCAAAATCTTAAATCAAAACAATAGTGGTGATAGTTTTTTAAATTTTCATTTGATGGTGTTGGGGATTCTTTGTTCCCACCCTTTACCATATTATATCTTAGTAACAAAATATAAAGAATATTGTGAGTAATTTATTATGTTCTTTTAGAATATCTTTGATTTTTCAAAATTGTATCTATTTTTAATTTATTAATTATTGCTATAGGTGATAAGTAGCATTAAGTCTTCCCAAAATGGATTGAAAATAGACATTCAGTAAATATTTTTTACTTATTGAAAGTCATTTCTGTAAAATTTGAAATGGATTGATCTTGTTTGGAAACTTATAAAATAAATCATGAGGAATAAATGACACAAACCCTTTTACATATAGAAAATAGTTAAACTGAGTGCATGATGTTCTCGTTTCACAGAGATTAAAGTCATCCAAAGTGCTTAGTGTTTTAATTTTATGAAATGTTGCTTAGTGAATTTTAGCAATAAACCCACATTATCTTCCTAATAAAGATGAAATTCAAAAGATAGTTTTAATGCCAAAAAGTATTATTATATTACATTAATTTTGTCACGGCCTGTTAACATTTAATTACTGTAATATAGTCTAATCTTGTTTATATATTTTGGAAGATTAAGTATATAATCATTTAATGTTAATGTATCTGATTTTCTAATGGAAGGATAGAAAGATTGATTCCTTGATATTTTTGTCATAGATACAAAGAACTTATTCATGTTCTGTCTGTGGAAAAAAGTTATCTTCTTCAGTAGCATTGAAATCTCACCTCAAGACACATTCAGGTTGGCTAGTTTTGTAAGATTGAATTTCTAGATTAATTATTTTATTCAACTGTCTTTTTTTTAATTATAGTTCTTTTTTTATTGTCCTTTATTATTAAAAAGAATAATAGGTACCAGTTTACTTCTGCTTGTTACCTTATACTGTCATTTTTTAGATTTCTTTGGACATAAGTAAGTATTTAAACTATTGAATTGTTAATTTTATCTTGAAAAAATGCCTCTTCTTTTTTTTTTTTTTCAAACAATCTAGATAACTGAAATAAAATCAATATTTATTAGTTTGATTTGTTTAGTATTTTATTATTATTTTTCTAGGTATCAAATCTTTTTGCTGTGAATATTGTGGTGTTCTGTATTCTACTAAACAAAATCTAATGGCTCACCTTTTAAGAATACATAATATCAATGCTGATTCAACAAGATCATGTGGTAAATATATTTTAACTTTTTAAATGTTACTTATTTACTTCATTTTTATTCTAACTTTATTAAATCATCTTCATGCTTTAGTTGTACAGGCTTTACTAAATTATTTTTATGGTTTATATTTAAACTTAAATTCAAGTTAATTTAATTTAATTGCAATTCTAGAGAATATATAACCATAAAATAAGTCATTTTTTGCAGACAAATTAGGACATCTACCAGTCAGGAAATTTGGAAATATGTCGAATATTTTATACTGTAATGAAATAAGGAAATTCACAGTGAATTATTAAAAACACATATTCTACCAAATTTTCATTATTCTTCTATTGAACTATTTTGAATTTAATAATTGATAAAATTAATTGAAGAAGTTAGTTATTATCCGAAGGCCTTATAATTTTTTTTCATTGTCATGCGAAATGTTTCAAATTAGAATGAAATATACCTCAGCTTATTTATGTTTCTTACAAATTATAATTTATTAAACAATTAATAAATTTTAATTTAAAATAAAATTACATTTATAAATTCCTAGAGTTGTTCTATGTTATCTTACAACTTTTTCTCTATACATCCATTCAGCATCCGAATTTATTTAGGATTTCGTGCCAAAGTACTGAGAGAATGCAGTCTGTATTGAATGAAATCTGTTCGCCAAGTGTTATGTTACCAATAATATGCGGCCCAGTTGTGCCAGTTTACCCACTTCTCCTAAGCATACTATGTTGATGTATTGTGTCCAAGCATGTGGCAATATATTTAAATTAAAATTAGAAATCACAAAAATATTTATATTCACAAACATAGCAACTAATTAAAAGTCAATCTTTGAATTATGCTGGTCTTCTTGCTAACAGATTATCTTAGTCCAGGCCTGCTATTTATTTTTTTTATTCTTAACTAGCTGATGTGCCCATCGTTGATGGGTGTATAGTTAAAATTTGAGAGTCTTTCTTTGAGATGGATTTTGTATTATGAAATGAAATGAAAATAGATTTTTATTATCCTGGGACTATAGTCCCTTTAGGACAAATTATAGAAAATGCCGGTGTGGCCATAAGATTAAATTAAATATTTACAATTCTCATTAAAATTAAAACAAAAACACTAAATATAAAGATAAATATAATACAAACATATCAAAATAAAATAATATAAGTAAACAAAATCATTTCTGGGAGAACTTAAAAATTTCTCTTATCTACTTTTCTTGATCAGTCAGGTTGGGAAAGAAGTAGGTGCTTAAATTGGAGAGATTTAAATGAGGAAACTGACTGTGCATGTCGGATATCGGGAGGGATGGTGTTCCATATGGAGACGGCTTTAATTATAAAGGATTTGTCAAACGCAGCAGTTCGGTGAAGACGTGGGCTGAGGTCAGAAGTATAGGATCCAGTGGGACGGGATTGAATGGAATATTTAAATTGTAGGCTGTGAAAAATATAGGAAGGTCGCTGAGTTCTGATGGCTTGATATAGAAAGGTAGCAAGGAAGTACAGAGGCGGTTGGATGGATAGAGCCACTTCAATTTGGTGTAATACTGGGTTATATGCGTATCTCTTGAGATTCCGAAGACAAACCGTATTGCGCAGGTCAGTAGGCGTTTAAGTTTGGCTTCGAATTCTCCCGAGAGTCCGCCGTACATCAGACAGCAATAGTCGAAGTGGGGGAACACAAGGGAGGAAACCAGGAGTTGTTGAGATTTATATGGAAGGAGATAGCGGTGTCGGTTAAACTGTTTCAGGGTAGAGATAGTACGACAGGAAATTTGGGAGATGTGTGGTTTTCAGATGAGGGTTTCATCAAAGGTAACACCAAGGTTTTTTACGGAAGTGTGGAATGAGATAGGTGAGTCATTTAGGAAAAGATTGGGGAGTGTCGGTAAGGATTTGATTATGGGGGGAATTTGGATCCTCAAATTCAATTTCATAAAATTGGGTTGTGAGAGAGGAAGGGGGTTGTTTTGAAATTTTTTATGGCGAGGCTTATGGAAGTCCAGGTTTCGCTATAGTAATAAAAAACATTGTTATTCGGCTATTTGTTTAGATACCACACAACTAAACCGACCACCACCGATCCATTAAAATTTGTTAAGTGTATAATTTTCATTTAGAATGATAGCGAGGAGATTGTGGAGTTGATTAATTAATCAAAAAGATTTGTACTCTCTCCACTTCTTTAAACTCTGCTGAGTTGTGATAATTTTTTCCATCAGATGGGTAGTATAACTTATAAATGTGGCTCGCAGTAGAGTAGGTTGGGATTAGAATCGAAGTAACTTTCTAACCGGGATCTCTAAACAAATTACTCCAGAATTCATCACTTTGGTTCTACTCAATATCTTGGTTTCATTTAAAGCCTATATCTTAAATCAAGCAACCTACATGTAATGCCAAAATTTCAAGTCTAACTTTAGGCATTGCCGAGCTTACCTCTGACAAAATTTCGTTGGACTATGCTGACATTCAGACAGACAAAAAAATTTTTAAAAGTGAATTGGTGTCTGTAATGTATAAAACGGAAAGATATTATGAAACGGGTTGATTCTATTCAATATACAGACAAAACTTTTGTTTTATTTATAAAGATGTTCTAGGACCTATAAACATATGTTTATTATTAACATTTATTATCAACATTAACCGAAATCTCTTGACAAATTACTCAAGAATTCATAACTTTGGTTATACTCAATATTTTGTTTTCATTTAAAGCCTATGTTTAAAGTCAAGCAAACTTTAATGTAATGTTAAAATTTCAAAAGTACAATAAGCCATTGCTGAGCTTACCCCTGACAAAATTTCGTTGCAATGCAGACATACAAACAGACAAACATCTTTTTAAAAGTGGATTTGGTGCATGCATGAATCTGAAAGATATGGAATCCATTTTATATTAAGCTCGTGTTAGGCATGAAAGCCTATTTTATTTCTTTTTGAGCTAGCCTATCAATCTACATACACATATACACACACACACTGACCATTTTGGGAGAGTTGGTTATTTGGTCTCAGGGGACCTCAAAACGTGTATTTCCGTCGAAAACGGATTCGAAAATTTTCATGATCACAATACTTTCTTTCTCTTACCGTATATTTTATATATAAGTAAGTGAAAGTAAAAAAATATTGAAAAAGGAGGAAAGTTGATTTATATCATGTAATTGTGCATATAGCAACCATTTTATATTATTAATGTTAATTTTTAATGCTTGCTTTAAATTGTCTTATTTTCTTTTCTGTTCTGCAGAAATTTGTGGAAAACAATTTTTCAGAAAATGTGCATTTGACACTCATTACCTCATTCATCTAAAACAAAAACCATTTAAGTGTCATATCTGCCATAAATATTTTCGGCAAAAGATTACAAGAGACGTACATGTTGATACACATACAGGTAATAAATGGTTAAATTTTTTTGTTAAATGACCTTTTGTTTAGGTCTTTATTGTATTTTTAATTAACATTTAACTCTACTGGTCTTAATTACGTTGCAATTTTTCTCTTTAAAACTATGAAATTATTGAAAAATTTCTTTTTTAGAACCTTATAAGACTTTCAATGCTTATAAGAATCACTAAATACGATACATTATATTTTCAGGTGATTACAAATACTCTTGTCCAAAATGTGGTAAGAAGTTCCTCACTGCCTCTAAATGTAAAGAACACACGGAGAAGAAAAAAGGTATCTAAATTAAAGAAAATATTTGTTGGCGTGTAATTGGTCAATTCCAAACAAACACTTTACAAATTGTTAAGTTTGAAAATCAGTTAGTATGTGTTTAGATGCTGATCTGGGCAAGAAATATTTTAATTATTGTTTTAAAATACAGTGTATTTTAATTAAAAAATATTTGAATTGAACAATAAATGTTCCATCTATTGGCTTAAATTATTTAAAGAATTAACTTTTTTTTGTGAGGAAAGGAGTTTTGGGGTTAAGAAACAAAGGATGTACTTTTAAATTAATAAATGCAGAGTAAATTATTTTATTTATGAACAATTGATAACAAAAGTAATGTTTTGTCAAATTATTTCACTTTTTAGTATTCTGCAAGGTGTTATATGAATTGAATCCTTCCTTTATTTTTGCTGAGAAATACTTTTAAAAAAAATTTAATGAAAAGACGGCAAAGTTTTCCCAAACAAAATATATATCAGTAGTCCATCTTTACTTCTTTATTCAACAAAAAACTCATCCACATTTTCATATGATAAGATCCTGTAAATTTACATTCATCTAACCTTCGTTTAAATTTTATACTTTTAATCTCAAAAAATTAAATTTGTTGAAATCGAAAAATGATCTTTATTCTGGCAGCAAATTTATTATTATACACCTGGATATTTATATGTTTTGATATATTAGTTTGTGTATTAGTACAAATATATTATATTTATTATATACACTCTCATGCATTTATGTTTCATATTCTTTCTCTAGGCCTCTGTTCGGATTTATTAATTCAATCAAGAGATGTAGATTTTAATCTGGACGATAATTGGACGGATGAAATTATAAATTCTTTGAAGTTTGACTGTCGTGTAACTGATAAGGTAAATAGTTTCAAACAACTTCATTTAAAATATTTGTATAATTTATGTTCTATATTACTGATTAAAATTTTTAAAATATGAATCTGTAATATTATCTCACATATTTTGTTCTTACTGCTAGTGTTTATTTCCAAGCTTAATTGTGGTATAATTATGCTTTATTTTGATTTGCACTCCCAAAACTAATTTTTTGTGTTCATTTTAGATTTTAGATTTACCTATGTCAAACTCTTTTAACCTAAATCAGGAAGATGCCATTGAATTCTTTTGTGCAATGCCTCAGTGCTCGGACACATCATTTAAGAATAAAACTCTGTTAAAGAAGCATATTTCAAGAAGCCATCTTTCAAGCGGGTGAATAATTAAATTTCATTCTACATTATAATTAAACTTTAAACTACTTTGGAAACAGGTTTTATTCTTTCATTAAGTTGTAGATTTGTTGACATGTATTGTAGATATGTAAGTGATTCTCAAACTAAAAGCTAATTTCAGTAGGCAACATTTTTTTTTTTTTTTTAATTTCAAAGGAAATATAGTGCATGTGTTTATCTGAGAAAATATTGAATTGTCCGTAAAATAATGCAGGATTTTGAGTTTTCTTTAAAATACCTCTATATAACAAACTGTTTACTTTTATTGCATTATTCATTTGTATGAATTTCAACACTTATTAATTCTCTTTGAAATGATAATGTATAATCTAAAAAGTGATAAAGATTTAATTTTTGCTACGTAATATAGTCTTCACTTACCTGTAAATTAAATATATCTTCGGTTTATTGCAAAAAGTCGGTTTGTGACATTTCATAACCTTACATCACAATGAACTTTTAAAATTTTCCCTTTGCATACTTAAAAAAAATACAGTTGTAACTAACTACATTTGATATATTAAAGGATTTGTGTCATTTTAGTCAAAATAATGTTTTTTTCAATAAATATGGTCGAAATTCACAAAAACATTCTTAAAAGTTCAGCTTTATCTATGCCCTTAAGCACTTTTTCAATAAACCGAAGACGCGTACATTCAAACCTCTCTTTATATATAGAGAGTTCAGAGTTATGCGGTTGAAATAGACTGAAGGAGTTTTTATGTTTATAATGCCTAGAGTCTATATTATTTTACTTTTTTCTTACGATTTATGTTATTTTGATGGTCTTACTGAGTTTTTGTGTTGATAAATTTGACTGAAATCGTAAATGTGTTCCTTTGGCTTTAATAATGCATTTCAAAAACTTTTTGTAATAGCCAATTTTTCCCAAAAGTAATCAATCCCTCTTCATAGTTTAGCCATAAGTGAAAGTTGTGTGATGACCGCACCAGATTTTTATTACCGTTATAATGATTAGCGTTTAGAGGAATAATTTTGATGATCCTGTAAGATCTGGAAACGTCGATCATAAAGAAGTAATAAAAACAAATGGAAGATAAAGTTCACATTATGATTAACTTTATTTATATTTTGATTACAAACAATTTTTTTTATTTTCGGCCGTAAAAATAATGTTAAACAATAAATAATTAAAAAAATAATTTTGCTTTAAAAGTAAAATTAAGGTAGCGAACACGACATGAGATATCAAGTACAAGAATTTAGAGATGACTGAGGAGGGAGAGGGGAGACGGAGCATTGACGGTATAAACCGACCGCACCCGATGATTGCTCCTCCTCAAAAATATTTTGCTCCCTAGACACTAGTTTAGAAATAGCCTAGTAGAGATAAATAGAAAAAAAAACATTTATTTTAATCAAGTTTAGATCAAGACTGTAAATTATATTATAGATGGACAAATGCTACTCTGAGTACTGAGCACCAAGTATTTTACTCAAATATTGAACTTTTTTGAGTGCCAAAGAATTTAACTTCTTCATTTGATGTCAAACGATTAACTGAAGTAGTGATTGAATTCCCCAATAGTGATTAAATTTGAGTAAAACGTTTAGTACTCGGTACTCAAAGTAGCATTTGCCCTTCCCCATCTGTGCTGCATAATTGTCACTTTATTTGCCTTTCTGTGTGTATAATTCTTAAGTTAACATGTCATTTTCTTTATATTCTTTAAGTAAAAAATCTTTCTTCTTTTTTTATTTCAGGAGTTTACTTCAAAATGAGGTTTCTTATGAATCAAATAATTGTGGAATTTTCACCTCAGAAAATGTAACTATATCATGCATATGACATTTGTTCTATTAATATTCCAAATTTTTATACATTTTTTTTTAATTTTAGACAAAAAATCAAACTTGCGAAAAACCATTTCCAAATGTGATACAAAATGAGCATTCAAAGAGGCCTAGTGGGGATTCATCTAATTCTACTGAATTTTCTTGTACTGAATGTTATAAAAATTTTAAAACTTTACAAGGATTAGAATATCATAAAAGAGCTCATAAAGGTTTTTATAAGTGAGTGTAATTTTTTTTTATCAATATTTAAATATCAGTTAATTTATACACACAACTTTTTGGAATCAGAAACGAAAAGATCTGTTGAAAGTTGCTTATCAAAAATTTGATCCGATTACATTACTTTTCTTATCATGATTGGATTCTCCTATAATTTTTATTAATGTTTTATTTTTGTAATAGTGAATAACAATTATTTTAAAATAATTTTTTTTTCAGTTTTATTTGTGACATTTGTGGAAAATTATTTATTCGAAATAGTCATTTTGTCAGTCATATGAAAACACACTCTAACATGAGACCATATTGCTGTTCAATCTGCTGGAAATCCTATAAGAGTAATAAAAATTTGAAGGAACATGTGAAATTCAAACATCCAATTGGATAATCACAGGTTTGTTCCTTGATGATTTATTAACATATTATCTTATTAACACGATGAATGTCAAATAAAGCAGAAAAAAATCATGTGGCCAAGATTGTTATTAAAAAAAAAAAACCTGTACTACAACCCGTGCTTGGGTTCAGTACTATAACACTGTTTCTTGTCAACGGTTGCGTTAGAAGGTGATTTGACCGTGATCATGCTCAACCGCCTGGTTTTCTCCCATAATTAATTATTTAATTAAGGGTACCCACTTACGTGGCTGGGTGTGTCCCAGGAGGGTATCCGACCCACGGCCAATGTAACAGAATAATTAATTTTTCTGCCATGAGAAGGGATTGGAACCTGGGACCTTTGGAAGCTCCAGTGTCCTAACACTAAGCAACCCCACTCTCTGCAATAAGAAAAATTATTTCTAATTAAAAAACACTAAAGAAAAAATCGGCAGTGAATACATAGCAGGAGTATGTAACTGCAGTAGAACTTTGTAACTGAATCAATGGAAACATAAGAAGCTTTAAACACCAATTTTTTGTATTCTATACTGAAAGATGAAACACAAATGCTTTGTCATCTATATCAAAAAAAAATATAAAGAAAACAATAAGATAATCACTTAAATTAATCCAGGATCATCAATAATGTAAATTTGAATATATTTTTATTTGTACATTAATAAATTTGAAAATTCATTCTAATTGTTTTTCTAATGATTCCTGATTATAGCATTTTTTAATAGGGCGTATAAAAGAAGATTGACCGTTTTATCAAATTCAAAATTTCAAAGGACTGTAAATATTTTAATCCTATGTAATACTTAGCAACACTTAATAATCCCTTTTATTGAATTCTGTAAGCTTGTTTAATCCCATTCGACTTCTTCAAAAAAAGCCTCAGTTAAGTTATTTGTTTCAAAGAAGAAACAGATAGTGTCCTTGAACAGCGCACTGCGCAGCTTTGGTTTGAAAAAATAATTTCTTAATTATTTTTCCCTAAACATGTTTTATTATTAATCTAAAAAAGGTTAAAATCCTATAAATTTGATTAGAAAATTTATTTTATTTGTATGAATTACAACCATGTCATTCTGGTTAAAATAGGTTTAGTTCTATCTAGAACATACCAATCCCCCTCCTCCCTCTCTTTATTTACCTGAAATGGCCAGTTGGGAGAAGGGAGTAAATAAAAAGAATTCGGCAGGCGGATGTAAATAATAACACAAAATGACTCAATACCTCTTTTAATGACAAAAAGTATATATTAAATTTTGATAAAGATAATAAACAAAAAGATTATTCTCATAAAATAAACAAAATGAACATATTAAGTTTTTTTTTTTATCTTATGCCTTGATTGTCTTGAGCACTTTTGGCCATGCGACATCTAGCAGCAGAGTAAATTTCACCTTCTGTCCTGGCTTTGTTTCTAATGTCCTGTTGTCGAGGACAAGTCAGTAGACGCAGAGCAGTCATGAATCCTTGTCAACACAGTGGACATATTGCTGATTCGACAACTTCAATACAGTATATACAATAAGTTCTTCACATACAAAATAAATAATATAAATACAAAAAACAAATTAGCACCAATAAACACACTGACAATTTTTATACACACAGGTAATTATAATTAACCAATAATTATTGGTCTTACCTAAAAAAAACCCTAGTTTTTTCTTATCTGCAGACCAGGTGGGTAATTCAATTATTATATTGATTGTAGAATAATTGTAATTGGTACTCTTGGAACTAAGAGAAGGAGGAGGTAACTCTTAAGGACCCCTTAAAGGGGCCAGTATCGGGTTCTGTCAATAAATTGGCAGTGTAAGGGCTACATTGGGCATCAATTATATTCACGTCAATCAAAATTAATTTTTTTTTTTATTGAAGCTCATTCAATATTATTGAAACATTGTCAATATAACTGCATGTGTAAGGGCAGTATTTAACCAAATACATGGATTTTGAGAAGCTCTGGGTGATACCAAATTTCCAGTGCCCCTCTTGTGTAGTGTGGGAAGACTATATATGTTTGGATAGATAATTTAAAAAAAAAAATACAAAATAGCAATATGTTTGGGTAGATAGGTGGTGATACTCTTTTTTGGAGAGAGGGTTGTAACCCTTTTTTCCAAATCTTTTAAAAAAAAGATTTGTAGGGATTTTTTAATAAGTATTAGTTATAAGTAATTTTCTATTCAAAGTAATAATTGTTATCCTATATGTATATATATATATTTATTTATTAACGAAATTTACAACTGTAATTAATAATAAATACAACAAGTAATATGACATGTACAACATGAGGAGAAACTACCCATTGGTAGCACTCCAATTATATTTCTATATTAGAAGGTCCCGAGGCCATCTTCTTTTCAGACGCCTCGGAGGGTTATCAGGAATAGAAGAGGAAGCAAGGTTGGAAACGAGAGGGTTCGGATGGTTCAGAAGTTTGTTATGAAAGGACAGGTATCTGGATTGAGCTAAATCGGAAACATATGGTACATTAAGGTCATTATGGATGATTTTATTTGTGACAAAGTAGGGAGCATTAAGGATTTTACGAAGGATTTTGGATTGTAGGGATTGGATACAAGAGGAATTTGATGGTTTAGTAGAGCCCCAAAGCTCAATCCCGTAAGTCCAAATAGGCCTTATTATAGTAATATATATGAGTCTTTTGTAAATAGTTGGTAGTTTAGAGCGTTTGTCTAGTAAGTGCTGGAGTAGTCTGAAACGTCAGACGGTTTCTAGTCGTTTCAGTCTAGTATGGGGGTTCCATGTGAGTCGTTTGTCAAGGTGGAGTCCTAGGTATCGGATTTGGTCAACAGGGATAAGTGGGGTATTGTTAAAGGATACTGTAGGACACGAAGTCATAGGTTTACGACATCCTATATATTATTTCTAAAAGGTGTTTTTTTGTTGGTACGCCATAACTTTATTAATTCTTCATCAAATACAATGATTGACCACTAATTTTGAAGATATTCTTCTCCACATACGAAAAATAGTCCTATCCCCCCCGAAATTTCTGGAAAAAAAGTTATGAAGGAAAAGGAAGTTTATTTGCAAATAACTCAAAAATATGCATTTTTTCTTGATTGTAACAATGATAATTAGAAAGACTACTAAATTACCAACAAAACAATAAAAAATCGGACAATTATTAACAAAGATACAGTCCATTAGTTTTGATATACTTAATATTGTCTTCCTGGCTGATGTATTAACTTTATTATTTCTTAAAGACATTTGGTTGTTCTCATATTTTATTTTTTATAATAAATTAGAAAATCCCATGATCGGGGTATTATTTTGTCTTTATTACTTTTATTATCTTTCCAGTCAGCATTTAAAAATAGTTCTTAGCAAAACAATTTGTACAGATATTTTTGACTATTATGTTTAATGGAATATTGTAATCGACCAAGGAAAAAATATTAATTACTTCCTTACGCAATAAATAGGAACTGCTTATTTCCATATTGTTTTGTTATTTCTTCAATAAACAAAATTTTCTGCGAATTATTCGCACTGGCCAACTAGTCTTATTTATTTATTCCACCCTCCCATGCCACTATGGCAATACGGATGTTTGCAATAGTGTGTTATTAAGCATGAATAATTTTAATAGCACACTAATACTAGTCAACTGAGCAAGAATATGCACACAGCTAGTTTTTAGTCGATAGAACAGTTCTTCTGTTCTATCTTCTTCCTTCTTGTTTATCGGTTTCGACCTAACTTTCAGAATCTTGAGGCTTTCCTGGCGCTTGTCCTCTTCTTCTACAGGCATCAATACGGAAGTGAGCTGGCCCCACCACCGTCTTCCATTCATTTCTGCATTCTTTAAACCTCCGTAAATTTTGCTCACTGACTAACAAGCCTTCAGACACTGAGGAAACTAATTTTCAATGAGGACATAGATTCCCATGGCTTTTGTCTTCGTCGCTCGATGTTTAGTTCGAAATCCTCCATGCCCAGTGAGGAACTGGGATATCCAGTAGTCTGGGAGGATTCCCCTTGCCTGAAGCCTCGACCTTGGGAAATTACTTCCTATATGTACTTCATTTTGGCGTCGTTAGCCACCGCCGGTTCCATGCTTCAATCATGTTCTCCCGGATTATCTTATACCATCTATTAAGTGGGCGGGGTGGCCGAATGGGCTAACGCATTGTGCACAGCACCACCGTTGCCCGGCAACCTGATATATAATAATTGATACAAAAATAGTCATGAATTCGCGTCCCGGTGCCAAGGCGTCTTTTAAATCTTCTCCCACCCCCCCCCTGGCCCGGGAAAACCCCGTATAGCCTTAACGGCGAGGAATGGGAGGACCCTCCCAAAAAAAAATTGCATCTATTAAGGGCATCTATAATCCTCACCTGCATATAGGAAGTTAGGATATTTCTTCTATTCCAAATTAATAATAGTTATACTCACACACACACATATATATATATTTTAGGAAGGAGAAAATGACGTCATCTTCCCCTTCCTAAAAAATTAAACTTATTTCTTAATCTGTTTTATTCAAAGAATTTAAAATCCCCTCCAGCACTGGGATGCGAACTCATACTTTTTAAATCTTCTCAAATCTCTTATCCGGTTGCCAGGCAAGTGCACACGCTTTAGCCCATTCGGCCACCCCGCCTCCTTTCCACTCCACTCTGCCCCTGAAGATCATCCAGAGCCCCTCCAGGTCGGCATTGTATATATACATACATATATATTTATATATCACATCCTATGCGACTAAAGCCCCTCACCTAAAGTTAAATCCTGGACCCACCAGTAGCTCCAAGTAACGTTTTACATAAGCTTATTAATCATAAGTTTCGATTCAAAATAGGACTTGCTTTTGACAAGTTTTGAAGTAAAAAAAAATAACAATAAGATTAGTTTTCAGAACTGGATGAGGTTCTGTTAACTCTATGTTTTTGGCTTAGCTCCGTTTTGATAAAAAAAAAAAAAATCTAAATCATTCACAAATCTCTCTTCTTTTTTTTTGCTGACGTATAGATTTTTATCAATCTCTGCGTGTCTGTCTTACGTAAAAGTGGCAGATTATTGTATTACGTGTCTAAAATCTATTATCAGTAGCATTTTTGATTCACAGTTATTAATCATAATTCTTTGTTATCGAATTTAACAAAATACTACGTGTAATCTTAACGCGTAAGGTTTTATGAAAGAAAAAAATACGTTTTGGCTGATTTCGGTGCTTATACTAAAATGGAGTTGTGCTAGGATTTAATATTATTTGTTGATAATATAATTTATAATGAGTAACAGAAAGTCTTACATTTATGTGCATATAGCATTAAAAATATACTAATTATGTTATTATTACGATTTTTATTTATAATGAGAGATTCATGATAACTAAAAAGAGAATATAAATTTTGCATTGCAAATTTTCTAAAGTCTTGGGAAAATTGCATCTATTGACATAGCTTATTTTGTTGTCGATTAAGAGTTGAGATTCTTTTAAAATAAAATTAATATATAAATTTTTTAAAACAATTGGGAATTCATGTTGATTAGTGAATAAATTTTACAACGTTGGTTCATTTTTCTTTTCGATCATAATAATTCGAAATCATGGAAAAATTATACATAAAGTAGAAATAAATTTCTATTGATAATACAACAAATAATCAATAAGATGACGAGAAGTTTCTGTAGGGATTCACCTCTGGAAGATATGATGGACCATCTGCAACTAACAATGAAGAAAATTAAAAATATAAATGTTATTGATAATAATAACAAGTAAAGTAACGTTAAACAGGCTTACATTAGTTATTTTAACATGGTGCCGACGACGTATACATGTCCTTTTTGTTCGTACCGCCTGTTTGATCTTAAAGTGTCATAACACGTTAAAATAAAACAACAGACACGCTACAATACAGTATTTTATAATTAATTAATTAATTAATCCGACTTATTGAATTGCCTTAACTTGGTCACTCAGCCTTCCACTGTAGGTCTCTCTAGAATATGCAGGCACAGAAGTGATTCTCGCTTCAAAATGAGAGTCTTTCGCTAGCTCTAGACCATTCCCAACGCTTAACAGGATTGCCCAGCCCAAGTTGCACCATCAAAATTTTTGAGGGGAGCACATTTCGATAGAGTAATAAATTTTCGAAATGAAAAGTTTTAAATCAAAAGACAAGTGGAAGCATAGAACAGACTGTAAGATGTATAAGTGTAGGGGATTAACATGTGTGCACAGCACCGCCGTTGTCCGGCAACCTGATCTATGAGACAATGGATTTAAAAATAATCACGAGATCGCGTCCCGGTGCCGGAGGAGTCTTTTAAATCCCCGCCCACACCCCCTGGCCCGGGAAAACCCCGTATAATCTTAAAGGCGAGGAAGAGGACGAAAAAAAAATTTATAAGTGTATGTGTTCTTCGAATTTTTAAATTCTACTTTTGTTTGCACTGTTTTTAAGAAGAGGAGAGCAATAAAATATCATAGGACGGGTAGGGGAATGTTCATGCGCCATCGACCTTAAGGTGGATGGGCACTCCTGACGCTTAGTATTCTTCAATAACTGCACTGGGTGCAGAAAACTGTGTGGTGTGATGAAAACTGGGAGTTTTACTCTATAACCAACATCTGGCACCGTACCAATGAGTAAGCTTCGATTTTTCAAATATTATTAAACCTTTTTCTATAGAGCTAATGTCATAATTTACTAACTAAGCTGATAGCCAACTGCTCATTCGCCAGAAAAATCTTCTCAGTTCCGCCAAGTTCATTGAGTGAAGGAGACTCCTTCACACCCAGCTTGTGGTGTTTCCTCAGAGCATGGTTCACCAATAGCCTTGCTTGTAACAAATAATCAACGCTGATTTCTTAATTTAGCTATTTACTATCGACGAAGTTCGCTAAAATTGAACCTCCATTCGTCGCTTAAATCGCTATAGCAAGATCATCACCATGATAATCTTTTTTTTTTAACGGCAGACTCCAAATCTTCTCTTTCACTCCCATTTTTTCCCTTTAGTGCTGTTTTTAGACATTTATTTAATAGGCCTCAAATATTAAAGTTTTTATCACATAACCTTCCCAAAACTTGAGTGATGTTTTGAAAAGTTTTTAGTCCTAATTATGCGTTTAATTCAGAATGGGCGTTTTACATTTTGGATGTTTTCTAAAATCCACTCCATCACGAAATTTAACCATGTTAAACAATAAAATATCCCTTGTCTAATCTAATATATGAGTTTTATTTACAATTTAACAGATATTAATAAGAAAAAAAAAGGTTCGAATCCTTAAAATAACAAATATGACCAAACAGTTTAAAACAAAATCATAACAGGGTGTTTATCGTTATAATTGTATTATAATTATTTAGTACCAAGTATTAAGTGTTATAACATTCACATAAAACAACAGCTAAATTTCTGTTGCTATGAGAACTAGGATCTTATCAGCAATATTGAGACAGCTTAGGCGACGTCTAGATATGAAATTAAAGATTTTAAAATATATACATATTTATTGCAGGAGATGTGGTTTCCATCTCTTTCTTCTTGAACTAAACGCATGAATACATTTGTTAAGGTTTTTGAAAATGATTATTGATGGAAACTGATAACCGTTTCATTTATTTCTTTTTTTCTTATAACAAAGAATAAACTATTTTTATAATAAGTTTAATCACCTCATCTTACTGTTTTCCCTTCTTCTATGTCATTGATAGCTATAATCGATCCTAAGAACTATTACCTCTTAGGGTTGTTGCAGGATATCGATCCATGTCTTTTTCAGGTGTAAAATGTAAAAAAAAATAATAATTATTTAAAAAAAATTTCTAAATTCTCTGTGTAATAAAACAACCCTCTTTTTGATCTAATAGTTTATTAAGGTCTCTAGGAATGATCATCGAGCTGTTGCAATATCTTTTACTTCAGAAGGCATCATGTTTCTTCTACATGAAAGTGGGGGAGGTAAGTTTTTATTATTTACAAAGAAAACTCTTTCAATACAGAGAAAGTGGAGTTCTACCCGAAGTCCTGAATGGTTTTAACTGTTTCCTTTCAACATCTTGATATACAATCAGTATATAGTTCAATATCACTCACTTGAAAGGTTGTGGTAGATGAATAATTGGCTCTCTGTGGAGTACGATGGTCAATAGATATTTAGATAATCAGTCAAAGATGTCTGCTATTATCTATGATCCATGATAGACTTGATGAATTGATTGAATTCATTATTTAAATTGAAGTTTTATTTATTTTTTTGTTCGCTACGAAACCCAAAGCAAAGTCGATTTGCAAAATTGTTGCTTATCCTTATAACAAGACGAAATCATCACTTTGTTGCACTCTGTTTACTCGTTTAGTAAGGTTAGCATAGATGGGTTATTGCATGTAGCATACTTTTCCAGCGTATTTTTTAATTTATTTGGTTTACTATGTTGCCTTTGCTACGATCAACTACTTTAACAAATCGTCCAGACGCTAGAACCACGTAATTGTTTACGTGTATCGTTAATCCCAATGCAATCTGCAGACTTCATAAGAAAAGCAATATAAACTACGAATATTCATCCTATTTTCACAGGTAAAGAAGTCACCCCATGAAGCAATTCTTTCAAACGCCTCATACAACGACCACCAATCTGTCAAATCGGGAACACTTTCGGCTTCTCTGTGATTCTGCTCTTCATTTTCTGTTACTAGCAATTAACTTTCTCTTCGTTAATATGTTGATAGATCTAGTCTGTGGTATGGACAAATATTATTTTTCTTACCTGACACAATCATATCCTCTGTGTTCTGTATAAGAGCAAAATTTAAATATTCACTCTGCTTTTCTTTTCTACCCTCCTTAGTGCCTTTCAGCGTGGAGGGGCCTCCGTCCATTTACACCAGCCTTGGCGGTTCTTCGCCAATATCCTCATAGAACCCAACAGGTTGCCTTTTTTCTCCCTAACTTGATTATTTTATTGATCCATTTTTTCCAGGATCGTCCTCTTTTTAGAATTCTATTGACCTCTTTTTAGTATTCTCTTTCAGGAGAGAAAATTTGACAAAATCTATTACAAAGTGGTGTTATGATCGTAGTTCTAGGATTGTTATCCCACTTAAACAATCGACTGGTTGGATCGTGCAGACGATGAAGATAATGATTATCCGTGACTGCAGTAAATTAAATAGCTTTGATCTATGCAATACCGACACTTTTCGATAACCCGAAGTCAAACCTGCTAACTCCATTGCGAAGTCTTAAGAATAACATCAGAGATTACTTTATCTCCTTTATTTAGCAGATTATGCACTGCCTGGACTATAAATGACCTAAACACCTAGCATGCCACTCAAAAAGCATCCTTACCATCGCACAGAAGATGCATTAGCGGCGCCGTCCTTGAGGCAATCTGGAGTAGACGATTTGTCTTAATGATCTAGCCTCAACGCCCGAATATGCTTTCACATAAGAAACTTTGACCATGTCTATCCACTAATTTGAAGTGATAATATCTTTGTTTCAGTTGGATGTTCTTTTATGTCAGTTTCTTGGGTTTAGTTTTCTATACGTCCAATCTTATTCTAATATGTGACGGACCTACATCCCCACTACCTCGCCGTTTCTCTTTATGAATCTAGTTGCCTTTCGAATTTTACTATGCCTTCATCCATAAATTCTGACTCCTTTTTCGTAAATGGCTCGGACGTTGCAGCAACTTTTTCGCCAAAATGGGCTTATCGAAAATGCCTCTTTATGTTATAGATATATTTTCCAATTTTCTCGAAAACAGCACTAAATATTTTGGTTGAATTCATTAATTCAATGTATTATTTAGTAGTTTTTAATTTAAGGTAGGTTTTATCCTCATCCATGAAGTTCAATGGTGAGTTTTCAATTTTTTTTTCTTGAAGTACCTTGGAATTTATTTACATATTTGAAATAATTAACCACTTCATATTGTAATATGTAAAACATATGAAATAATTTTATAATTAAATAAAGAAGAAATGAGGGACTGTAATAGAGGTCTGAAGAAACCCGAGTTCCAGCACCTGCTGGAGGACAGCAGCACTTGACCGTATTAACTGACGAAAACTGCTTGAGGAGGCTAGGGTGAAGGGTTATAGAGCCGGTTGATGATGATATTGTTCATTATCAAATTCAATCATAGTTTATATTTAACCATTTTCTATTTATTAATAACCACAGGGAAGTGCTAATTTTTTAAAGTAAACCATATTAAATATATTTTAGAGGAAGCAATTTTGAAAATTCAAAGCCATTTGAGGGTGTAGCAATTAATGAGACATACCTGATATTAAAAACCAGTTGGTTGTACATTAGAATAACAATTTTAACCAAAATTGTTAGAGCCATTTTCGAGTAAACTGTATAAATATGATCAGTTATATAAAGTTCCACTTCCTGTCATCCTATTTTAGTAAAAAGAAGTTGTTGTAACTTCCCAAGCATATACGCAACTTAAATACATAATTTCATTTTCGTACGACTTTTCGCTTTTTAGCTGAACTGTTAACACACAGACCATTTTGCGAAACTTGGTAATTTGGACTCACGGAACCCCAAAATGTCATTTGTTGTTGAATTTTAGGAATACAATACTTTCCCTTACTATATATTTCATATATAGGTTAGTGGAAGTAAAAACGCCTTTTCCCGATTAGAGGTTTTACTGTCGGACATTTTTATTCTGTTCAACACATCTTTCATTGTTTGTTATATATTTTTTACTTTTTACGCTATAGAATCGAGAATGATTTCGTGAGCCGCATTCACAACTTGAATCAAAGATACAAAACATTGTTGGGGTTACAAATGGAAATTAGTATCGTATCATTATTTTATTATTTTCATTTATATTTTTGTACTTGCGCTCTTAAATTCTCAAATAATATTGGTTATACGAACATAGCTCACCTTTAGATTGATTCAGCGTGAGCGATAGTATAAAAACCAGTAATCAATCGTTACTTACTTGGTATGATTTATCACACAAATTTAGTCGAAAAATTAGTGCTTTAAGTTTGCTGTGGACGTAATTTTGGTTTAAAATACAGCTGGTGACTCACTAACTCCCTATTTCTGCCGAAGAGTATCGTTCGGAGATTCAGTTGGTCGTAATGAGGTTCCTTGAATCAGCCCAATCAGAAAACTGATGTCTGTTCATTCGCATTCAAACGAATCCTGAAGCAGTAATGTGATCTCTTTCATTTCATAGTATCTCTCCCTTACTTATTCCTTATGTTAGTCTTCGCTCTAAGAATCCAACAACTTCTCTGAAAACTGGATATCTCATTTATAAACCTATATAATTTCCGACTGTCAGCTCTGTGATATTGGGATATTCAATTCGTAGTATATCAGGCAAACCGTTGTATTGAAAACCAGTGATTATCGCTTTATTATTTGTGGTATGATTGGTGATTTTTCTTCAATACTTTTCGTATTACAATAGTAACCTGATCATTCTCCACTATTCTTCAAATTATGATGGAGCAATCTGCCGTAATAGATGACCATGGATGTACCAAACCTTTGCGTCAAGATACTTTCCATTATCCCACTAACCTGAAGTTGTCTATCCGTTCAGAAAGTACTGCATATTTTAGCATTACATTTTTCTATCATTTTGGATTGATTGGATATTCTCAATAAAATCTTCCGGAGAGCTTGTTTCTTAATTCAAGGGTTGTCGGGACTAGACAACCACCGAATGTATTGTTTCGACGTCAATTCATATGCTAGAAAATTTGCACCGTCCATTTTTAAATATGAGTTCTTCACCAAAGGCACTAATATGTCCTAACTTGGGCGTATAAGATACAAGATATGGGCACTATTGCCTAAATGAAGTGAACAAAAACACTGTTTGTTTGAAACAAATAAAAAGTTGGCTACGCAGTCTCTTCAAATAAAAGTTCCGAATTTACACTTCATTAAAAGTCAGATATGCAATAAAACGTAAAGGTTACGTACATTTACTATGGAACCAAAAATTTAATATAATTTGATTTCACTGATTTTAAAAGTTACAAATGATGAGAAAATAACTTACTTTTATGGGTCTTTGATTCAATCAGACAGACTGATTACATAAATAAATTTCTTAATGATTGTTTCACAATTTTTAACACCATAAAAATATATGTAACCTTTCTTCTATCCAAGCTAAACGGAATATTGAACATATGTTCCGGAGTAAAAAAACAAAGTTTTTTTTTCTTCATTTAATTATCAACTGACTACAGGGGAAAAATTAAAGGTTTATTTATATATAAATGTGTATATATATATTAACTCAGAATTTAACCATTTTTTTAAGGGTTTTGAATTTGGGTTTCATCTAAAAGATCACTTTTTTTTTTTTCCAAAATCCCTTATCTCGCCACTTTTGGCATACAGAGGGATGAAGTTTTTTCGAGATGTTGAGAAAGATCTTCACTATGTAGATACCGATACCGCGAGAGAAGGGCTAGGTAATTCGTCTTTCTACAGACGGATTTACAAGGGGAAGAGGGAATTTCTGGATGAAGCCTCACTTAAAAAAAAAAAAAAAAAAAAAAGGTAGAATAAAACCATGTCTTATGAAAGAAATATTAAAAAATTATCTCTAAAAGTATTACTGTTCGTGTGATTACATTTGATAGGACTTCCAGAATCATTTAAACTCCATTTCATAGGTAGTTTGTTTCTTTCAAAGTAATTCTCGTCATAAATGTATAAAAAAATGTTTTCAGGCTGACGCCCACCAACATAAAATCCTGGATTCGTTAGTGCCTCCCTTCAATATTTTACGAAGGTACATGAGTATACCCCACTTCCCTATGATTCATACTCATTGACTAAAAAAAACACCATAAAAATGTTCCATTTATTATACATATAATAATTATAGTTTATTATAGGTAATATACTTATACCCCTTTCTTCCTCTCATGCATTAAATTTCGTT